ACTGGAAAATGCAGCGGTCTCCATTGTGATCAACATCAACTTCTACCTCGGGCTCTTCTTCTCCTACTTCTTCCAGTGCTGGCCGCGGGAGAAGATATGGCTCGGCGACACGGTGGAGGGGAAATGCACGGATGCGATCCAGGTGAACCTCAGCTCGGGGGTGCTCAACATCGTATCCGATGTCGAGGCCCTGCTCATCCCTCTGGCACCTCTCGATGCCCATTACGCGCAAGCTGGCTGCCTTTGCAGTCTTTGGCGTTAGTCTAATGTATGTCCCACCTACTCTGAGTATATTGCTTGCTTTTTTTTCTAATAGTGTGTGAATAGTGCGATCGGGACAGGCATTGGAGGCATGTACATCCGCGTGGTACTTCTGTCCAACTTTGACTAGACCTGTTGGTTGACCAAGCTCGCAGTGATTGTGTAAGTTCCCTGATTCGACCAATTGATCCCTCCATGATGACCAATTGATCCCCCCATGATGACCAACTTTCCCCTAACGCCCTCCAGGACTACCGAGATCTCCAGCTTCATGTTCGTCGGCTGCATGCACTTCATCTCCCGGCTGTACCACCACTTCCGCGGCCCCACCACCACCGCGTTCAGCTCCAAGGGCGGCGCTTTGACCTTCGGCTGCTCAGGTGGTTAGACGGGCGATGATGAGCTGTCGCGCACCGTGGCCAAGTACATGGGCTCGCGCGGCGCTGGAATGACCGCGCTGGGCTCCCGAGGGGACGGCGGCAGCGAGGATGAGCTCGAGCTGCGCAGGCACGAGGGCGTTGAGCGCAGTGATGGGGCGCAGAGTACTCATAATATCTACAAGACGAGCCGGGGGCAGACTTACACCACGCGGACGGAGGGTTAGAGGGGGCGTTGATGGGAGACGATTGTGATACTGTTTCTGAAGCGATTACATTATGATATTCTTTAAAGCGAATACCTTGATTCTTTGTATATTATTATTGAAACTGTTCGATTTTAACTTTATCTTGTGGTGTTGAAGGTTCGGGTATGGACCGCTAATTGTGTTCTTGAAAAATGTGTATTAAATCACGTGTTGCCTGATCTTGGGATATACCCTTGTTTACGGCGAAACCAACAAAAAAAAGAAAGTATATTATTATTATTATTATGTCTGAAAGCTTCCCCAATAAGATCCCATGTAGAAGAGTATGCATACATAGTATTCTCTTGGAAATGAAGCTGACGCCCCGCTGGCAGCATCTCGACCTACCTAATCTCCTCGCTTGTCTTTTCGCGGGGTCGCACGTTCACACTCAAATGGGGAGAGGGGCAATCGTCATCAAACAGGGACATGGATCCTTTCCCACCCTCTCGGACCCCAGCTGTCAGACACATGGAAAAGACCCGATGAGGGCCTCGCTTACACTCGTTGCTGGGCGCCTCGCCCTCGATGCTGGGGCGCTGCCTCTCTACTGCGGCCGTGAGGCGTAGGAATCGGGTTGCTTACTCTGAACGTCGTAGTGTGGGATTCTAAGGAGGTGAGATTTCCTAAACTCTGGGATCAGTGAGTGACCATGGGACTACCCCTGTGGGTTGCGTGGGTGAAGCGATTATCAACGGTATATCCCGAATCAGAACAAACGGCTTACAGGCTCGCCATCAGACGATGAACGACCAGCGTGTGACTGGGGACTTTGTCTGTTGGTTGCAAAACGAAGGATTCCCTCTGAGCTAGTCATCCGGGCCGCAGAGTGAATACTACTGTGTGTTGGTCCAGGACCAACAGCATAACCTCCCCCCTGCCATATGGACCCGTTGCTCACGCATCTGGAGGTCGCTTGCCAACATACCCCCTGCGATTGGGTAGAGGGCTGGGAGCATCCAAGGGCAATGGAGAGAAAAAAAAGCACGGTGCCAACGAAGCAGTTAATGCCTGCATCCAGACCGCTGGTGTTAGTATAGAAAGCTCGAATCGTCACATTACATCTCCCGGACATGGTCGACGAACTTACATCTCAGTGTCAGCCTTATTAACTTACATAACTTACATCTCCGTCTCAGCCCTACATCGTGTCATCTCATCTCGTCCCGCCTCCGTCTTGCCCACAATGGGTAACATAACCGCGACCCCAGTGCTCCCGCAGGTAATCGCGACCCCAGTGCTCCCACAGGTCATCGCGCCCCTCATCCTAGGTGTCACCCTGCATTTGGGCTTGTTCATCCGCGGCGAATGGAATCTGTATGCAGCCAGCGTCGCTTCGGGCCATGCCCTAGTCTTTGCTCTCGTGCTGGCCAGGCAGCTGCTGATTGCCCCCGCGCTGTGGTACGTCTCCGCGATTCCCATCGTGGCCTACCTCTTCGGCCTCTTCGGGAGCATCAGCGTATACAGACTCTTCTTTCATCGCCTGAGGTCCTTCCCGGGCCCTCGCCTGTCCGCTGTGACCAAGCTGTGGCACATGTGGAAGTGCCGAACTGCTAAGAATCACCTTGTTCTGGACTCATGGCGCCATTACGGACCCTTTGTCAGGACTGGTCAGTTCCCTTTCCAAGTTCTATTCCGCCCTGGTCGCCTCTGACTAACTTTGTCTGCAAGGTCCCAACGAGATCACCATCTACCACCCCGCAGGGGTTGAATACCTTAACGCCCCCCAGAATTCCAATACCAGATCTGACTGGTATGATCTGCTGTATCCTACCGTCGGGGTGTTCAGCAGGGACCCTGCCATCCATGTCGCCCGTGCAAAGGTTTGGAACAAGGCAACTTCACCAGCCGGTAGGTTCCCGTCTCCGACATGTCGAACCGTCTCTTTGCTAACCCTGACCCCGCAGCTATGAAGGAGTACGTTCACAGGATCTCAGACCATATCATGAAATTCGAGACAGCCATTAGCGCGCTGGGTGGCAAGCCCACCGTCGTTAACGACTTGATATATGATATGTCGTTTGACATCATCGCCGACATTGGCTTTGGCGCAACGGATATGAACTCCAGGGAGGGGGCTAACGCTGTCGGTAATGCATTGACTATCATTGGGCAAACCATCCCCCTACCTTGGATTACTAGATTAGCACTTTCCCTCTGCCCGGGGGTCTGGAGACTCCCGTACTGGATGAACTTATTCGGGTACACTATTGGTATCGTCGAGAAGAGGATGAAGGTAAGGCTAACCGCTGTCCATCTCCGCTATGCACTTCAACTCAACTGATAAAAACCCGAATTAGTCTAAGCCAGACGGGCTTAACGTGGCATCTTTCCTCATCGAGGATACCCAACGCGAAGATGCAGACAAGATCAGCCATGAAGCCCTCCTCGGCGACTCTGGCGTCATGTTCATAGCAGGAAGGTGAGCACATCTTTCTCCAAGTCCAAGGACCTATCGGATAGTAGACTGACACGTAAATAGCACCACCGGCCCGATTTTCATCCTCATTTTGTACTGCCTCGCCCGCTTCCCCGGAAATATGGAGAAGATCCGCGAAGAGCTGCGTGGCGTGGACTACAACGACGTGAACGCTCTGGCCGCGCTGCCGCACCTCAACGGCGCGATCAACGAGACCATGAGGCTCTTCCCCGCGGGACCGACCTTTGGATCACGGCAGACACCGCCAGAGGGCCTTGACTGCGATGGCGTGTATATCCCTGGTAATGTCAAGATCGTTGCCCCGCGCTGGAGCATCGGACGACGTAAGTCATAAACCTATTATGTTTTAATCTAAGTTGATAGTCACTGCTGACACGATCACTTGACATTAGTTGAGGAAGCATTTGAGGACCCGCACAATTTTATCCCTGAACGCTGGTACAGCAAGCCCGAGTTGGTCAAGGACAAGAGGGCCCATGCCCCCTTTTCTCTAGGTAACGTTGATCTCTTCCGCACGAGGTCGTTGTCGTGGTGTTTTGGAACCAAGCTAACCGTTTCATAGGTCGGTACACCTGCTCTGGCAAGAGGATCGCCCAGGCCCAGTTGAGGCTCACGCTTGCCGTGCTCCTCACCAAGTATAAAATCTCTTTCCCCCCGGGCGTCGATGAGATGAGCGCGGAGAAGGAGATGGAGGACCAGCTGACTCCTCTTCCGGGTGACTTGGAGTTGGTTTTCGAGGAGTTGAAGGCGTGAGTTGAGAGGTGGAACCGGAATGTTAGTCGTTTGATATTTTGCCCACTTCCAGGGGAGTTTTTTTTTATGGTGCCGTGTTATTCTAGTGGTTTATGACGTGTCGACGATCGAATCTGCAACTGTCTCTTTCTGGCCACTTGGCATGTTGAGGGTGTGTCGTTGAACGTCCCCCTGTCATGTGACGCATCCATCAAGCTTAAAAGCCTCCGATGTCAGATTCGTCTGCAAGCTAGCTGATCCTATGGCCTCGGTACTTTTGGCAGTCCGATCCGATCTGATCTGATTGGAACGCCACCTGCAGTCAATCTATTGATAATCCCGAGTGGACATTCCTAAACGGGATATCCCCGAAGTTGCCACCCTCGAAGTTGTGGATGTATAGGTTGAAGAATACACTCCACACCATATTTATCTTCGAATAGTGTGTTGATGGGAAAATCTCCTTGCTAGAAAGACCTCATGTCTTGTCAGCTTTGAATTTATGCTTAGCTATGATTTGGACAGAGCCGTCACTGGTATTGTGAGAGTTTTTTGCCTTCCAAGGAGATAGATCTTATTACGAGAAATATACTAGATACGCAAACAATACAACTCAAGGAGCCCGATGGCATGCGAGAGAGTAATTTAATGCGCAAAATCCTAGGAAGATACGGAAGTTCTACCCCAAAGGTTCACATAAGTGGACTACAATGTGGCGTTCCACCTATAGTATATCCACATGCAGGGGACTGGAAAGCTTCAGGTTCACTCAGACTCCCTCCATTTCCAGAGAATCCTTTCCCCATCGTCGTCATCATCGCCCAAGATTCCTTCAGACTCACATGCAGCTACACTAATCACATCCAGTCGCTCTCATCCGGCTGATGCGGATGGCCCTGCGTCTGACTGCGTGGGCGATGCGGAAGGAATCTGCAATGCAACGCCAGCGGTATTGTGGGCTCTTGACTATCTAGGCACGATCAGAAGATGCAAGGGGACAACGTAGCTTATAAAATGCGTATAGGGCGTCGGTGATTATCCCACGTTAAAGTGTGAGTCGAAAACGAAGGAGCACAACTCGCAACCATAATGTATCATATTGATCAACGGACTGTCTTTGTTGGCTTGCCTATTGGCTTGCGCTGCAGCTAGCTATGCCCACTCGACCAAGTACCTAATGGTCTTGTATGTTCACCGCACTCAGAGTTTAGCGAAAATTCACTGACGAGAGAAAAGGGGTGAATTATATTCGACAACGGGCTCCTTGGCAGACGGCGAAGCCTCACCAGCGAATCCCATCGGAACCATAACCCCCAGGTATCACGACCAGCGATGGTCTGAACTGGGTCGGGCAGGCGGCCTCCTAGCTTAACTCATCCCTCGTCCTTTTTTACGACCTTGCCGTCACCAACGCCACCATTGACGAGGCGATCGTGAGTAACGCGGCCGGATCGGGAGTGGGCGACTAAGTCCGCCTATTTGGATGGTACGTCGCCAAAGCTGGAACCTGGCTGCTGCAGATACCCTTACCGCTATCTGGGTCGGCATCAACGACGTTTGTATCCCGCGGCAGCTGGGGTAGGAGCCGCCCATCGACACAAGTCTGCAGAGATACCTAGAGTTGCTGAAAATCTCCTACACCAACGGCCTTAGAAGATTCATCCTCTTCACGTTACCTCGTAAGTCTTGTTGTCCTCGCTTGAGGAACGAGAGCCCATTTAACACATGGCCCGAGGAGGCACAGGACCTCCTCCGCAGCTACAACACTGGTGTCTGGAGGATTCTGGAGGAATTGAAGACGTGCAAGCACGAACGTGAGAGGCCAGGTCTTCGACACCGCTCTGGCGTTCCGAAAGGCGCTCGAGAGCCCGGAGATGTATGGTGCCCGAATGCGACCTGCTTCGATAGCAACGGGGTGAGCTGTCTTTGGGCTGAATATTATTTCTATCCTGGTGTTGCTATATAGGAATGATTCTTCTAGAACAGGCTGGGGCGGATATATCCGGAATTGTTTTCAACTTGAGCGATAGATTATTTTAGAACTGGAGCATATGAAGCTTAGGTACAGAGGCGACATAGTAATGATGATGATATGACGACGAGTTTGTTTTACGGAGGTGGTATGTTAGAGGGCAAAGAGTGTCCAGCTACCAATATTTTTACGGGTACCTCACTTAAGCTAAAGACATAGCTGGATAATGTTCTGTGAGTTTTGGTAGTCGTTTCCCAAGCAGGCGTGGAACCCCAATGTATGCCTTAGGTACATCGATATATATATTGAGCGCATTATATATACTTACCGCAACCCGATATATAAATGTGGTTCCAGTGCATTTTATGCTGCGTCGAATTAATCAAGGCGGAGGCGGCCCTTGAAGGTTGAGTTTAAGCTTTATTCAATTCTCAGCGCTTCTGATACTCTGATCTGAAATGAAGCTTGAACTGAACTTAACCTTCGAGAGCCGCCTTCGCCCGGGTCGACTCGACGCAGCATCTAAGATACTGGAGCCACAAGTTATATGTCGAGTTGAGATAAGCACGTATAAGCGGGTTGCTGTTGTCTTTTAAGCGGCTTTGTCGCCGCAAGTAGCCCCCCAAACTGATCGGAGGACTGTGTCGCTAATAAGCTCGGAATAAAGCTGCTTTGTGTTATCTCTGAAGACTGTCATTATATCTTGATGACTTGGTCATAAGCCCCGACCAGGCCCTAGGACGCATGGATATCAATATTAGATACTGGTATTTTATTATTGTTGCTTGGAGAGGTGGTTTTGGTTGGTGGCGGTGGACTTCCCCTCTTGAGGGCAGCTGAGTGATTCACCGGCTAGCCTGGCCAAGGGGCTACCGGTACTCCCTGGGTTGGTTGCCATGAGCCTGGTGTGTTAAAGTGGTTGGATTGGTGGACGACGGATGAAGGAAGCCAGGGAAAGAGGGTAGCTTAAATAGTCATTAGACGAGCGGCTCGTCCTGGCTGTAAGTGAGTCATCAGTGATAAGCTTTACAGACTTTTCCTTCCGCATGGCTGCAGCATTAGGCTAGCAAAGCTTTTTTTGGTCTAAATTTTCGAATTCATTATATTGGGATGTTGGGTCTCGTATCTTCTGTTGTTGTTTTTAACTTTACACTCGAACACTCCCGTGTATGCTTGCTAGCCTTATTAGAGTTTTTGAGATATTCATGCCTACGCTTAGGCTATGTGTGTAACTATCAAGTTTTCCTAGTAGAAACACATCTAGGCAGACAACACACCCCTCACCAAGTTCAAAACTAGAATTGGTAGCTTCACGATAGATTCAGATACATGAGGGATAGGAGAGACGCCATGCAAGACCTTCAAGGCTAAAGCCGATGAGCTCTTTCGACCGGGTCTCATTTACGCATCGTGGGATCAGCCAAGGACAGCTACCGCTTACACTTTATTCGTGATGCCAGAAATAACGATTAGATTTCCCACAGCCCTAGATTATGTGCCAGCTCGCAACCCGGTCTTAACGGGGTCAGTAGCTGATGGTTGCATCGGCTCTGGCCTTTATCTCCGGGTGGGCAGCCCTTAAGTGCGTGAGCGGATGAAGCGGATGACAGAAGTGGCTGTCACGGCTTGGAGAATCTCAACACCATGCATATTGGGATTTGGCGCTTTTTCGAAGCTGATGAAGGTTCGTGACTTTGGATATCCGGGGATAGGAATTAGGGGTGTTTTGGTGTCGAGGCGGCGGGAGGATAAATAAGTGTAAGTCGCATGGTCAAAGGCAATAATCATCACTCACAAAGCAGCCTACCACCTCTTATCATAATCTTTGCATTAACAAGTGGAAAAGCAAACAACCTAAGAGTTAAGAGATATAAACGAGTCCAAAATGGTTCCTTCTTCCAAATACAACAAGCTCCAAGGCAAGCATGTGATCATTATTGGCGGCTCATCAGGGATCGGACTTGGCATCGCAGAAGCGTCCCTCGTCTCCGGAGCTAGCGTCGTGACCATCACATCTTCTTCACGAGCCAAGATAGACACCGCCATCTCACAACTCAACAGCTACACCGCTCACCCAGACCAGAGGGTCCAGGGGTTCACCGCAAACTTGGCAGGGGAGGACGCCGAGAGCCAGCTGGACGCCGTATTCCAGCAGGCAGTAGAAGCGGCGGGCACGATCCACCATGTCGTCTACACGGCCGCAGATGCGCTATCTCTTACGATGCTGCAGGACATGACACCCGAGAAGATCCTTGCAGCCTGTCAGATGCGTTTTGTGGCTCCCCTTCTCGCCGCAAAGGTGGCTGCCAGATATCTCCCTCCATCTCCCGAGAGCTCCCTGACCTTGACGTCTGGCAGTGCCGCGTGGAAGAGCACCCCGGGGTGGGCTCTGGGATCGTACTTCTCAGGCGGGCTACAGGCCGTGACGAGGCAGCTTGCCGTGGAGCTCAAGCCCGTCCGGGTGAATGCGGTGGCTCCCGGGTTTATTGATACGGGGCTCTGGGGCATGATGAGTGACGAGGTCAAGGCCGAGTTTGTGAGGAACACGGAGGCGACGGTGCCGACGGGCAAGTTTGGCCAGGTGGAGGATGTGGTGGAGGCATACTTGTGGGTGATGAAAGATGGAAATGCGACGGGGACTGTTGCGGGAAGTGATTCAGGTTTTTTGGTGGTTTGAGACCGAAGTCCTTCCGTGGCCTGAAGATCTTCCTCAGAAGTGAATCTAGCTTGTAGACTTCCCTATAATGGATCAACTTTCGAGATCGTCTTCAAAATTTAGGTTACTTTATTAATAATAGCTTACTAGCTTGGGTGATTATAAAATGAAGCCTCCTGGATGGTTTATACCCCGATCAAAAGAGCAGGACGCATGAATGTCTCGAATATGGCGGAGAAAAGCCGCGATCGTCGTATTAGAAAGGAAACCGAAATTCATACTTTCAGGCAACATCCCAAGATGGTGCAAGGTCCATCTAAGAAGCCTCAAGTTAGACAAGGGGAGGTTTCCTCACTGTGTAGCAAAATATTGTCTTGTTGGCTGATCCTATATGAATAAAGTAGCGGAGCTCTAGACATTCGCTTATTAGTTTGGTCCCAGTCTATGTTGTTGGAACACTCGTGTGCGCGATACCTGGAGCTTCTTTCCACTATCTGGGAGGTCGTGGTTATTGTCCTTACACTCTTAGGTTCTCTTTTAGGATAATCCTGTGTTGTCTCATTCTTTGTGTCACTCACAATGAGTTCGTAAGTAATATACTCACTTACGCAGATCCTAGGCTGGGCTCGCTCGCCAAGGTCGTTGTTCATAGTTCAATATCAAATGTTCATTTCATTACTACTGAAAGCCAAGCAAGCAGCATATTTCTATTTCAGCCTCTTTAGCCATGTGTCAGATTTCTGACATCCATCATGAAGTTCACTCTTTCTTTTGCGTTCATTTTATAAATTACAGCTTGCTAGAAATTGTGTCTTTCCGATCCTCAACCCGGGACTTTGTGAGGAGCATGGAGCGAGGGAACGCGGTTGGCACCTCTTCACCAAGCAACAGCAAAGCCAGGAGCTGGGCAGACCTGAAAGCCCTGACCATTCCAATGCCCGAATACGCGGCGCAAACCCATTGATGCTGACGGCCTGGGAACGGCAGCTTACCAATGAACGGGTTGCCGTCCGACGTGAAGGCAACAGCGCCGCTCCAGGCATGCGTTGTCTCAATGTCCTTGGTGCCAAAGTCAAAGACTTGAGGAGTAACTGCCTTGAGATGCTTGTGAGCCAAGAAGTCGACCGAGCTGTCGTCTGCCGTAGCCCTGCGGCCTGTGCCTGCTCGCCCCATGACATATGCGCCGTCTGGCCGCTGGATCATGTACTCATAATCGTGCTCTCCGTATCGGATCCACCAGGAGTTGCTGTATCGGGCCTTAGACGGGCGAGGCACCTGGCGTTGGACGTTGGCCCTTACCGGAGACACGAACTTGCGCAGCTCCGGCACAAGACGACTGACCCAAGCGTTGGTGGCATGCACGACGTGGCTGGCTCGGATCTCTCCTCTGTTGGTCTTCACGGTGGCAAAGCTGCGGTCGTCCTCATCGTAGACGGCTGTGACGAGAGTGTTGGTCTCGATCAAGAGACCTCTCTCGCGGATCATCTTATCAAAGAGCCCCGTGACCATCTTGTAAGGCCACATGGAGGCGGCGGGCATTCCGATGGCTCCCAGGCACTCCTCTGGGCAGTTTCGAGCCTTGAGATCCTCCTTTGCCGTGTAGACGCGATAGATCTCGCCGAGACTGGGGGCGTGCTTCTTCATATCCTCGACGGCATCCAGTGCATGGCGGAAAACCTTCTCGTCATGGTAGACGTCCAAGCCTTCGATCTCCTGAAGGTCGCAGTCGAGATTGTTCGTCTTGATGCAATCGGCCATCTCCTTGAGGTGGCTATGCTCATACTCCATGACGCGCACGGCCTCTTGCACCCCGAGCTGCTCCTTTCGCTCGAACCACGACCCGGGGCTCATGGCCTTGATGTGGCCTCCGTTGCGGCCAGTGGCCCCCGAGCAGAGATCGCGGGCCTCGAGGAGGACGATTCTGAGATTGGGGTTCTTCGAGTAGAGGGTCTGGCAGAGACTGGCAGCAGTCATGCCAGAGCCGATGATGGCGATGTCCACCGACTCGGGCCATGGTGATTGTAGCTTACTGTGCACCGATGGCTCTGTCAACCAGAAGGGCTGGGTGGAGTTTGCCACGGGGAATCCGGGGTCGACAAGACCCTTCTCGTAGATGCCGTCAGGGGAATCAGACATGCTGGGCAGTGCGATGAAGAATACAGAACGCGATGGTGCAAGAAAAGGAGAAATGGAAGAAGACCAGGATGTTTTGTAGCAGCGTGGCTAGATATTAGTTATCAACCGCCGGCCGTGAGGAGGTCATGTGTATAGGATAAGCAAGAGATTTGGCTGGTCTCACTAGAACTTCCCAAAACGGGAGGACTTGCTTTTTCTATTGGCAGTGGGAGGAAACTGACCCGCTGTCAGATGGGGCGAGATGAAAGACGCGGCTCAAATTCCGATCCGGTGCCGGAACGGTGTCAGACGGACAAGCCCTAGTCACACAAGCGAGAACAAACTGAGCTTCTCCGCCTCGGGTTGACTCGTGTGGCCATTCAAAAGCTGGCTCCCGGGCCGTTCTAGATGGTTTGATCCCGCACGTCTCTTTCTACTTTCCTCTTATAAATATCTCCCAGCCTTTCTCGCCAGACCACGAATGATAATGTTGCAAATGATCCGAGTTTATGTGATACATTCATGGTTATCTCCGAGACACTTGATGGCCCAATTAGATCAGATCTTGAAGAAGCTTCTTTATGATCAGCTGATACTGCTTTCTCAGACTTTAATGGGACACTCTACCACACGTGTTGAGCCAGAATTTTCGGTTGGACAAAACCCTTACAAGTCCAACCAGATAAACTCTTGGAAAGATCATCAACGCCCACGAACCATCTCCGAAGGTGAATGTTAGAAAACGATGCTTCTATTGTGAGAGGGATACAAGCAGCTGATATAAAATATGACACACCAGAGCTCTTTTCGTACAAGCTAGAGACTTCGTTCTCTTATTAACAATATTTAAAAAATAAAACAGTAAAATAATAGACTCTTCTTTGTTATTGAGCTTAATATTGCGTTGATAACTGGGTTTATTGTTTTGATATTGTGTTGAAATCCGAGGCTATATGGGGCTTTGGTGTGCAGAGTAAGGCATGTGACTCTAATGGACCCAAATATGTCTGAAATATCATTTCCATTGTATTCGTAGTTCTTTGGGGGACCCCACAGAGTTATCCCAAGACCAATTCAACATCTTCAACAGGAAGATTTTCCCAATACGACTTTTCAATATGGCCCGCTGCTTGGCGATACGCGACCCCCTTTTCCCACTCTATCCACAAGACCGTACGTTCATCTTTAGACCAGCGAGGGGGGTCATACGTCCCCAGTTGTTCGCCGAAGGTCTTTGCCCAAGTCAGCACACGGTTGATCGCCACAAGCTCGAGTTGCACACCTCTTTCAGTGCCCACCGATTCAGCTTCCAGCCATTTCAACTGATCTTGATTGTGTAGTTGAAGGGTGCCCACTCTACCGCCCGCCTCATCATGTAGGTGTATGCAATTTATGTTTTCCCAATGATATTTGGGACTAATTCTCTGCCCACGAGTCCAAAGACGGACTCGTTGGGTTGTGCAGAACAGATATGCCGTCTGCTTGGGCATTTCAGGTGGGGTCGACTCCGTGATCTTCGGCACAGGAAAGGGATAGAAGAAGGCATCTGTAGGGTCCCAGAAGGTATTTGAAGGGTCCCACTGGGCCCCGCGCAAGTTTTCGTGCTTATATACATATCCTCCACATCCTTCTGGCCACAGGAGTGGTTCGTCGAATTCCCATTTGTCAACGTCCAGTTTGTCCCCAGCTTTGACTTCGTGGCGGGTCCATCCGTCCGGCAATGGTAGGGCGAGATTCGCAGCGCGTTTCTTCCAGGTGTCTCTTTGACTATACCAACTCGACCGTATCCGCCGACGTGCCCGTGGAGGAGTCGTTGGGGACTCACCAGTGTACCACTGTGCGATCGGGATTGTCTCGGTGATCAGGTGATTCCCGTGACTGATCCGGTGCGCCTCTTCTCCGATATCGATGTTGCCTTGCCATCCGACCCAAGACCAGGACGGCAAACCAGGTGCGAATTTCAGGTGATCAGGGCGATCTGAGGACACACGTCGTCTCGCCTCAGATTCCCAGGATGGTACCATCCATCCAATGGCCCGGTCGAAGAAAGTTTCCGGGATTCCATATAAGAAGCCACCGGTGAATGAACGGCTGAGGACCGACAGAAGGCCTGTAATCCCAGGCAGCGCATCCTCTTCGTAGCGTAACTCCAATACGTTGAATTTCTGGATGATTTTGCCCAGCAAGTCGAGATCAGGGAACCCAGCCAGAATGTCACGAAGCCATGGGTTGATGTATGCATGGAGCTGCTCTAGGTAAGCCAGATCTTCGTTCCATTGGCTGCACTGACACTCCCAGTGTACCAGACCACCGGAAAAGAAGATTTTGCGGCTGGCCATCTTGTACTCTTGAAATGTCCAGCCGCGATGGAAGTATTCACCGTCGAACCATTCAGGTTCCTGGGCAACTCTCGCAACAATGGTTTCCTCATCCCCAAATGGAAATGAGTGTTGGTCAAACTCTCGGGGGCATGATTGAGATACCCCTCGGAGGCCAGAAATACCCTCCTGCGCGTCCCCGTCCGCGGCAATAATCACCACCGTTGCGCTAGCATAGATGGCTCCCATGAGACCTAACTGATGAGTTGTTGTTCCATCACCGTGGACTATGCAGAGTGCGTCAACCCAGACATATCGCTCATCAAGGGTCGAGGTGAGGTAAATGGCGTGTCGGATTACAGGGGTCATCAGTTGGGATACCCGGCTGCCAGCCTCGTCTTCATCAAGTACTCCGGGCCGCTGTAGGTCCAACATGAGCTCAGGAGTGACACTGACGCCGGGCTGTGACCCCTGACGGTAGCTTAAAGCGATAAACGATGAGCCGATGGCAGGGTCATCGCCGGGGACAACACACATTTGCTTCACGTCCACAAGCCAGGCCGGACGGGTGTGCCATATTTTCATTGAGTTTTGGCATGTAGCGCCATGAGACGTCAGGCACTCGTTCTTCCAGTGTTTGACAACGTCCAGATCGATATACATTGGGTCGACGATACGCGCTTTGCGGAAAGGATCTGGATATGACGGCGACTTGCTGACGAGCGCAAGGTCAAAAATATAGCCGAGCCGGGCCATGGACTGATAGATTTCAACGTTGCCGTTTTCGTACACAAACCCCATATCCCCTCCATCTGTAAACTCCAACCCTTGGGACTTCTGCCCGCACAAGTTCACAAACCACTCCATCAAAGGCTTGTGGCGTAGGCATTCGGTGGATATGGCTTCTTCGAATGACCCTAGAATGATCTTAGTTTTAGCAGGAGGGTTCTCTTTGCTCGCTTCAAACATCTGCAGCAAGTCTTGACACACTCGACAGGCAGGGGACGTGAGAGTAATGATCTGTTTCGCCTCTTCCACGTGAGGCTTGATCGGCTCCTCGGCATCTTCCCCCCCATGATTGTGCACAACGCTTTCCAATTCTTCCATTTTCTTTCCAAATTCAGTCGTTTATATCTTAACGTTCCTAAATGACCGCCTGGAGTGTTCTTAGCAATGGATTCTAGGGGAAGGTTAGAAAACTTCCGTACAAGATATGAACGCTTCTTCAACACAATCAAACAGCCAGAGCGCGTTACTTGATAATGACTGCTAACACGCAAGTCATGATCAAAGGAACTTTACACGATATTGGGCCGGCTGTTGGTTTTCAAACAAGGGCAGCTCCGATGCGCCACCTCTGAATCGTCTGTTGGTGTTGGTAGAGGGATTTTCAGACATAACTTTTACCCCGCAGTAACTGCTGTGTACACTCAAGCTTCTAATTTTAGAGAACTTTTGACCAACAATTAAAGCACTTTGAACTAATCGAAAAAGTACTGGCACAGTGCTTAATCAAGCATGTTGGTCAGCTATATCATATCTTCATCGAAACAATTTTCAATCAATCAGCATACGCGTTAATCCTCCATTTATCTGAAAACTCGTTGCACAGATCTCGTACGATATAGGCAGCGAATAATGCTTGTTCTTTAGTTACATCCGAAGAATCATAGTTTTATCTCGCTAAATACTTGTAATTCAAGGCAGAGAACCGTGAAGGCTGTGAAATCCCTATTTCCCCCAGAGTAATGAGCTAGTCGATATCTGCCACAAAGTCCCGCCACTCGCAAAGATGGAGGCGACGAGATGAGGCTTGATGGCTGTTCTCATGGCGGATCTATCTCTATTTATCAATAACTAACCCAGGCCAGGCCATATTATCCTGTGAAATTCCCGCTTTGTGATCAGTGTGTCAGTCTTCGAGGGAAAGGGGACTTATTTCAATGCTCGATCCTTAAGGAAGCATTAATACATCCTATCATGTCAGGAGACGAAACAAACCGTAGGCATTTCGTTCTGCCCAGTACATTAAGTTCATTTCATTCTTTCCACTCACGAGAAACAAATCGTAAAGGCGTATTCCACACAGAATCTTCGGCTCTCGTAGGTGTAAATGCACCCAAAACTTTCTACTTACAAGCCGGTGGGTGCTAGGGTACAAGAGACTTAGACGTGTGCCCAATGCTCACCCAACAGCTCCACCACCTTTATAGCCTTTGCCGATTGCACAATTTCATCTAAGCCAGGTTTCATTCTGTCCTCAAGGCTGCATGAACAGTAGCGATAAACATATTCTGAACGTCTCATTCTTGCTAGAGACGATGTTGTAAATGTTTTCATCGTCTCGTAGAGTTCGTTGACACTGAACCCACCATAAGGTGCATTAAGCTGTGGTGCGATAATTCCCGTTCTGTATTGATGCCTTATTAGTGATCCAAGCATTGGAGACTGGCAAGCATTCCGGCACTCAGGTTCAGTCGCCAGAGTTTTCTGCAGATCTTGGAGATATTGAAACATTTTCTCAAGAGTCTGCTTTCTTCCCTCATTGATCAAATCTAGTTTTCTTTTAGCGAGATTTATACAATAAATCGCAACAAGCTATTGCTTACCTATTATCGCTTGAGGAAGGGGATGCCCTATCATCACCAGCGGATGCTGAAGTTGCATCACGGCCAGCTCTACCATTTTCTCGAAAATTCTCGATCGTCGAAACACCCATGAAATGCAAAGCCAGACTGGGACTTTCTCGTCATAAGAGCTAGGCAAGCCATTTTCCAATAGCGGGACCCAAATGCCGATATATGCGTCAACTGACTCTTGACAGTCATAATAATCCACAATAGTCGTAATCTTCGCCAGCAAATCTAGGCTGATGATTTTCGGTACATGTCGATTGTGGCCGTGTATAATGTCCAGAACGACAAGAAACGCTTCTATATCCCACTCGGATGCTCTGATCTCGAGGCACCCATCTCGACGGACCGTCGGTTTTTTAAACGGACCCCGGAACATTAATCGAAACACAGGCGAAGCGAGACATAAATGAGCCGAAGACACTCGCAACCGGAGTTCCACAGGTTTCAAGGTGTGGTCCCAGGGAGAAAGCCCTCGTAGAGCACATATGTCCGTCACTATGTCTGCGCCTGGCTCGGCTCTGATTTCAGGCTCAGGCTCTGCAACAATCTCCAGGATGTCGCATCCAGTCCTGGTCGTGATTCCGCTCTCACTTGCGGTTTCATTGCCGACAGCGGGTTCAGGTTGAACAGGTTCTCCATCGGTTTCGGGCTCCGCAGCAGGCTCGGGTTCAGCAGCAGGCGCGGTCTCAGCGGCAGGTTCAGGCTCAGGAGCACGTTCGAGTTCGATGGCAGGCTCGGCTTCAGGAGCACGTTCGAGTTCGATGGCAGGCTCGGCTTCAGAAGCACGTTCGAATTCGATGGCAGGCTCGGCTTCATAAGCAGCTTCGGGCTCAGGAGCACGTTCGAATTCGATGGCAGGCTCGGCTTCATAAACAGCTTCGGGCTCAGGAGCACGTTCGAGTTCGATGGCAGGCTCGGCTTCATAAGCAGCTTCGGGCTCAGGAGCACGTTCGAATTCGATGGCAGGCTCGGCTTCATAAACAGCTTCGGGCTCAGGAGCACGTTCGAGTTCGATGGCAGGTTCGGCTTCAGCAGCAGTTTCAGGCTCGACAGCATGGATGAGATTAACATTCTGCTCTCTTCTCATCTTCTTCTTCTCCAACTTTTTCTTTTTCTTACTTAGCTTTTTCGGCCTAGCATCGAGCTCCGGCTCGTAAGTAGGGATCAAAACAACGTCCCCCTTTCCCTTGCCCCGCAGTCGCCTTGGTATTTCTTTTCCCGTCTGCATATTTGGGCGCTGCAATACGAGTATCGTATCCCCGGATGGGTCTAATTCGAGCAATGACGTCTTCATCGTTGGCTGAACTCTTTTCGATAGTACTCAGTAAAAACGGATAAGCTTCCTAAGGTAAAGCCCTAAATATGGTGGTAGAAGTATACTAAGAGAAGTATGACACAACTTTCAAGTTGATTTCGAATGGTGACGAGAGGAAAGGCAATTTGGGTTGCTTTGGGCAGGTTGGGCTCCCTTTTGTAGCTCTTAGTCAGCCCTTCTTCATGTGTGTTTGATTGGAAGGTTGACCTTCGTTCTCATTGGATCTATTCGGTTACACCTGCATAAACTGCAGTCGGTCATAGGCAGCATTGCTCATTATAAGAACGTTGTTATGATTTTAACGGTAGGATAAACTGAGCTGCTCTGCTCGAATGCGGCCCACGCTCAACACATGAATCTCATCTCGCCACTCAAAGATTTCACATCACTATATCATCTCAAGTTCCACTAATTTTAATAAACCCATGAAAGTGAAGTCTTCTGCAACGAGGCCATGGACGGAAAATTCCCACCCCGTGGAGCCATTACTCTTTGGCGGCCTCTATTCTATCGTTCTCTGCTCTCCGAGGTCATTTTCGAAATCTTTTCATGTTCTTAAGAAATCTAAATCGAACGGTAGCTCATTTGGTATACAATCCATGTGCCTTTCTATTTATTACATGAGCTTAGTCTCTCTAGTGTCGTAGAAAGGTCCCGATTTTTCATTTTCAGTCTGACATACGTAACATGATTCACTAATTGCAAAATCAGGTTCCCCTATACACAGACTAGCGCTGGTATTTGAATGAAAGCTAGTATATTACACCAAGTATTATTCTAATTTACTCACTCCATATTCGGCGGATCGTTACGATCGGTAACATTGAAGACATTAAGCTTAAGGCTCTTTTCTCAAGTTCCCTATCCTTACACTGGCCAAGCAATGGGTTTAATAAATTGACTACCCTATAGTCATCGGTCCTCCCCTCCATCGCTACTCGCACAATGGACATTTGGTCCAGTTAGGTTTGATATAATAGGTAGCATAAGCTAGCTTAAGGCCTTATTTAATGTTAGAGATGAACACTTTATAAAAAATTGGTGTGATGTGTTGGTCTCTTGTGCCGCCAAAATCAAATCTCAGGCTCGTAAAATGATATGACGGTAAGATAGTGAATGCAGAGGCTTCGCAAGAGTTTATGGTCTTAAAGATTCGCTTTATTTGTACTCATCCGGGGGAGAGAAATAAAATTAAATAAAATAGGGACAAATTGCTTGCACTTGAGCAAACATATCTGGGAGGTTTGATGGGTTCATTTTTTTGCATTAACTGCTGCTTTTCGAGGTGCTTACTAAACGCTGATCAGGATTTTAGCCTTTTTCCCTCTCCGCGAGCTACGTCCTAAGTTCATAGCTCTTGTCAACTTTGTTGATGTACTCAGAATTATCTTGGAGATTAATGCACACTATGTAGGCCTTTGTAGGTATGGAGACGATCATCTTCAATGGAAACAAATTGCCGGATGCTGACATCATCGGCGAGCGTTGACCACCTGTTTCTCATCCGAAAGATCTACGAGGCATGCAATGGTAAGCTACAGCTACGAGTGATGATGTATGTGGCCTTCTCCATAATCGGTGGATAACCGAAGATCACAATAGGCTACTATTTTAATGCCGTAAAGCTGCTACCATGCCAACATGCCAACATGGTCAGTCGCTGAAGGGATGCGAATATGATGGAGGCGCGGATGTGCAAAAAGGCACGGATCGTCGATCTAGCATAAGGTCCCTTGTCTGTGATGTCAGAGGAGACCAATTGAGGGTTCACTGAATTGAATAAATAAGTTATGAATGGATCTTTCTTGAAACGGCGACGGATTAGCGACAGTACGGATGCATCAGTAGGGATCGTTAGTTGGTAAAACACTTTGTGCAGTAGTGAGCAGAAGGCCTCGTTTCAACCATTTGTGCTCGTACATTAGACGCACAAAGGAGGCAGAGCGACTTTGACAGCTGACCGACGAGTCAATGCAGGCCGAATGCGTAACCCAAAGCGTTTTCGATATGCACTGCTGCTCGAGCGCATGATGAATGCGACCTGGCTTGCATACTGGCCAATGCAGGTTGGTTCTGTATTGGGACAACCAACAGGCCTGCTCTCTCAACACAGGCGGGTGGTCGTATTCCTTCTCGGCTGAGCAGCGGAATCATTGGAACTGCCTAGCCATTAACCAAGCCACCTTCCGCCTCTGGATCCTGGACAAAGCGACTTCACAGGACGGCGACGGTGTGATGGGAAATACGCAGGGATGCCCCTTGTATGCACGCGAGCAGCACACAACTTACGGTGCATGATCTGTGCCAACTTCTCCTTTCGGGGAGAGGATTCGAATATATCAATCAAAGGATTCTCAATTCCGAAAAGATGTCTGGTGCGAGGCCTTTTCCTTTTCCCTTTCGCTGGGCATCTCAGACACGTGTGCTCACGGGAGGATTCATAAATCGACGGTGGTCATGGATAGTGCAAATCCTTCACCTTGAACCGGTGACACAGCGTTGCAATGTGCCCATCCGTCGCCCGTTGCGACGGTGATCTGACAGGGGCTCGGCCGGGCGCTGCCTTTTTCTTCATCCGCAGAACCTTCTCCCGTCTCCCCCCTCTGGCTACTTCACAACGAGTTAGAAGAGACGCATGAGACTGGGCCGCGGAGCCGGCAGAGCCTATGGCACAGTGGCTGTCTTGGTGCGACTCATCGCCGTGCAGGAGGTGGTGGAGGGTGGAGGCTGGTCTGCGGCGCCTTGTGTCTTACGTTTTCCATTGAGGGGGTTTCACCCACTCGCTCGCGAGCATCATAGAGCCAGAAGGAGGCATTCGGAGGCTGAGGGCAGTCCTTTGGTCTCTGTGATGTAATAATAATGATGGCAGCCACGCAGGAGGTCCGTCTACGCCGTTTCAACTACATACATAGTCCGTGATGGCCACTGGGCAGCCAAGCAAGCACTATGTCACCAACGGCCGCTTAAGTAACAGGAGAGGGCAGCCGGGGTCGTTGCGCTACCGTAGGAGGCCAAATAGGGTTCATTTCCACGGGCAACGCTAGTCATTCCCGCGTGGCAGCAACGTGCAGACATAAGCATCAGTCTGAGACACTCAGCATTGGCCCATCCGAGCAGGGGATGGAGACTCAGATCGGAGTCAGGCTTGATGAACCGAGGGGATCAGAGAGGGACTGTGTATCAGCGAGGAGCTCGTATGTTGCTCGCCTCCCACAAAGCCCATACGCCAAGTAGCAAGTGATGGCAGCGGATGGACCGGACTGGAAACAGTGTCGCATTGAAGGCACACTGCCTGCTGGATAATTAGCCTGGCCCCATTCCTTGCTTGGCAGGAGTTCACCAGCCGTAGCGCAATATAAATAACAAATTGCGACCAGGGGGTGAGGGGCTCATCGTCCCATCCAGGATCCATCCATCCATCCATCCCATGCTGCCACTCCATCTCTCCATCCATTGCAATGGGTCACGCTGCAAGTGATTTGATCACATCCCCGCTGAGGTCCGGCAGCCAGCGCTCACCGTCTGACGAACACAGGCCTGGTTGAGAGCCAGGACGCGAACCGACCGCCCAGAGACCAGCAACGTGCAGAGTCACGGGCAATACCAACCCTGTGTGTGCCCTAGAACGCTATCAATGACATCTAGCTTGGATATCCTGGTCTAGCGCAATCACGGCCAGCAGGGGAGCACATCCGGCGCTCTCGCCCTCTCGCGACATCCATCCCACACTCGCTTCTTCTCTGCCGTTACACGAACCTACATACTGCACATCGACCAATTCGCCTCCTTGCACAACTTCACAACCAGCGACGAACGAGGGGCACACGTCGGCCCAGGAGGATATCGGCGTCCATCACAGTCTCCGTCGCCTGACTGCGCGCTGCGGCGCTACTCTCTTCTCCATACCGGCTGGTCAAGAGAAGAACGAGAGGCGATTGAGACCGACACACACACGATGCCGACACACGCGATGCAGCCGCCATCGTATCCAGCCATGGACCAGCAGTCCGAGGCCAGCGACACGCTCGGCCGGCTGCGAGACGTCAACTTACAACCTGCCCACCTGTACCACAAACCCTCCACATCCACGACGCATTCGAAACGATCGTCCGCGCCCAGACCGAGCGTCAGTTCGACCTCGACCGTCCAGAAACCCAAAGGTGCCATGCTGTGGTCCGACGGCAGCAGCGTGGGCGGCAAGCGAGCAAGCAAAGGCGCCCCGAACTCGACCTTCTACAATGAGGACACGCCGCCGCCTTCGCCGTCTGCCTCTGACTTCCGGTCCGCGACGTCTGATTTCCGATCCAACGCTGGCAATTCCATGGGCACCGCCGATCTTGGTTACCACGTAAAACCAACCGCGAAGCTGGACCAGTCGTACGACTACCGGTACGACCATGTTGCGCCGCCTGCGCCGCTACCACCCAGAGAGATTCTCGGATACAAGAGACGCACTTTCCTGATTGCAGTCGGCCTCCTAGTCGTTCTCGTCGTTGCCATCGCAGTCGGCGTTGGTGTCGGCGTAGGAGTTGGATCAAATAAGAACAACAGTTCAGGCTCAGAGTATGATCCCCCCCCTTCCCCCCCCTTCCCCTCCCATCGCTTCAATACATTGATGCTAATGCTTTGTCCAGTGCTCAAACCTCGCCGACGGCAACAACCTCAACCCCGCCCACATCCACAACATCAACATCAACCTCCTCTTCCGCCAAACCGACCACCTCGTCATCCGCCTGCCCCGCCGCCAACAACACCGTCTTCGACGTCCCTAACTCGGACAAGTCCTTCCTCCGCATCTGCGGCGTCGACTACGCCGACGGCGACGGCGCCGAGGACCTCACGACCGTCTGGACCGCCTCCATGGTCGACTGCATGACCAACTGCGCCGGCTTCCCCAAGTGCGAGGCCTGCAGCTGGGGCGCCCTCGAGGGCGACAAGGGCGACAACCACCGCTGCTACCTGAAGCGCAACCTGACCAAGTCGGAGAGCCGGCGGCCGGGCTGGGACTTTGCCATTATGCAATAGATGAAACACAAACAACATCAACAACAACAAGAACAACAATCTACACATAGATCAGAAACGACGGAACGAAGACAAAAGAAGGGAGAGAAGCACCCCAGACTTGGAACAATGAGCGGGTGGTAATTAGGGTTCTACGTCAGGCCCTGGGAGTTATTGATGGTTTTTTTTGTGTTTGACATCAGGTTAGGAGATACCAGACCTTTTCGGGCATTTTTATGGATTGTAATGGGGTTTCTGGGAGCGACTCGATTTTTTTCTCACTTTGGCCAAGGGGATTAGCGGGAAATGCATTAACGGGAAGGTTATAGAATATCTACATATCTTGTCCTACAATATGATATAATGGCCATCTTGAATTGTGTTCCTTCCATTACAATGAAATTGTCATTGGGTTCTGTAGTTACGCCTGCTCTGTTTCAGGAACGGCTGGCCAAGTATGATGGGCGGATCCAGGGAGGCGTGAGCGACGAAGAGCGAGAGTGTCTTTGGTTTGGTGTGGGCGTTTGAATCCGAGTAGATCTTGGCATCTAGTGTTTTGCCCACGATCTTCCAATTGGTTGTGCGATGCTCCGAAGAAATGTACTGCACCTTCCGGGGGTCTCCCGATTCCAAGTCCTCGATAGAAAGATCCAGCTCCTGTGCTTTGTAGATAGAGATGATGTTGATGGGAATACGTATGTTGATCTGAGATAGCACGTTCTTGGTTGGCCCAACAGGGTCCCCGGATTTTATGTGATAGCTGAATATGTCTTCGTTATGCCTTGAGTCGATGATGAGAGTGGGTTCTTGCTGCTCTTGCACGGGGTTCTGGGGTCGTGCGACAGTCGCGGGTGAAGGCGGCCTTGTCGTGGGTGGAGGCGACCTGGGCCGAAGATCCCTAACGAAGGTGAACCCGTCCTGTTGGCTGCGAGTTCTTGGGGATGGATTGGGCACACGAATTTGATCTGCCGGTGAAGACTTTGAAGAGGAACGTAGAGGAGGAGAGGCCGAGGAGGAGGTGGAAGAGGAGCTGGTGGAGGAAGAGGTGGAAGAGGAGCCGGTCGAAGAAGAGGGGGTAGAAGTGGCCGTGGATGTCGAGGTGGTGGGCGATTCAAGTACTTGAAAAGCCGCAGCTGGTGGTGTATATGATTTTCTCAAGGTCTGGATCATGTCCATCGAGTCTCGTATGTATCTCTGCGAAATGGATAGCATTCTTGGCTCTAGGCGTAGCTGGCCTTCTCTCAGTTTTTCGACCTCCTGCAGCTTCCTGAGTTGTCTCCTGTAGTCTTTAATACTCCTGTCGAGTGTTTTGCTAGCTCTGATCAGTAAAACTTGTACGACAGGTGGGCGATGATATGGAACGTACTAACGACTTCGACAGGGATAACTGTTAATGCCACCATTGGTCAAGCATTCTGCCAAGATGTTTAACTCGACGGTACTATTGATCACAAATATGTTAAGCAACATGAATTGCATTTGAGCCTCTAGCCAGTCGAAAAAAGGCTTCATGTTTTTCCACTTCCACATGACAAAAAACCCCCACGAGCCCTCAAAACTTTGGGCCTGATGGGCAAGCCATTTTAACATATTCCGAATCCCTTGCTGTCCTTCATTGAACAGTGGTAGTTGTTTGTTTATGTGCTTGAATATAGTTGACTCGATGTGCTCTGAATATAGAGTCTTAAGATTCTTGTTTGCGGTATTGAGCGAGTTGGCAGCTTGAACAAGGTTGTTACAACTGATCGTGATTTCATACTCAAACACGCTAGCTTTGATCTTAACCTCGTGGTATTTTCTTTCCAACTTCTTCGCCAAATGTATGACGCCAGCGAAGCATAGGACGACCTCCATCCTAGCGGCATCAAAAGTCGTCCCTGGAGTAGATGTTTTATTGAGAGAGTGCTGACTGAATGATTTCTTGATAAAATGCTCACAGAAATGCCGAGGAAGGAATGTCCCTGGGCAAATATAGGAACAGAGCAACCAGGAGGACGCGGACATGATAAACATATCCTTCCATTTCCAAGAGTGACATAATGCCCAGAAACTTCCACCCCAACACCAGGAAGAAATATTGAGGCCCAATGCGTGGCGCATGGCCTTAGCTACCATTCTTCTTGAGCCAATTCTGCCTGCCTCAGTCACTGCCCCATCCCTTGCAGTGCGACATAGGCTGTTGTATGCACTCACCCCGCACCCGAGGTGGTCGAAGCGAATGGGCTTGCCACCCAGCACACCCTCGTGCGTATCAGTGGGGGGCTCGGCATGCATGAAAATGGTTCGCATTAGCAGAGCATTAGGCAAACTTGCAGGTGATGGACATTTAGAGGACTCGATGAATTCGGTGAAAGATTGGGCTAGGAGTGTGCCATCTGTAATGCCTTGTGGCAGAGCATTGGAAATCTCGAACCATACTAAACATTCACAATGTAACGTCATAAATATGCAAGCATCTCCTAGTCATATCAGCTCAATGTAACTGGCTTGGTTTTAACAGCAAACTGCTTCCCATCTTCGGCTCAGTGATACCATAGCTCGGGCACAGTTTATGAGTCGAGATACCCAGCTTATTTCGTAACTATATTATGAAGTATCCCAAACAGAGGGTTGATGAGGTCTGTAATGTCCTTTGGGAAGGTTAGTCCATAATCTTACAGACTATGCTGTGATCCTGGGATAGGCCGAATGAGGCCGTAAAACTATCCGCAGAGACGGCGGTGACCTCCTAGACAACTGCCTCATTTTTGCTGCATAATATTCGGCCCCGTCTACTGAGTCAAAATTAGTAGACGGTTGAACGTTAAAAGTCAGTTGAGAGTCTAATAGAATTTCCGGTGGCATTTTTCAGTACCTTAATATACATCACGTAGTCATCCTTCTTCTGCAGAACTATCACGTGGGCCAAACGAAAAAGGGAAAAAGCAGAAAAAAAGAAAAGACACAAATTCCCTCCATGGATTTGATTTGGACTAAGAGATGATCTAGTTTCATCTCAAAATAGAATAGTCTTGCATCTTCCTGAGCGAGAATAGCAAGGTGGTGTGTCTGCTATGTAGTCATGCGATGCCGATCGTGATGCTTACCTGGGTGGCAAATACCAAGATATCGACAGAATGATCTAGGGACGCTTGAGGTCAATTGATTGCATAGAATTTAATTCATGTGAATAAGTATGATAGCTTTCAATTGTTTTGGAGAGGATTGATGCTGTTTGCGGGAGAGAGAAAGCTTAGTGAGGTCGTGTGTGTGAATTGTGGCGAAGCATCCACCACCTCCACAAAGCACTTCTGACTCCTGAGAATGACCAGATGGACGCAAGCCCGTATTGTAGTGGTGTAAAAAGAAGAGGGGAGAAATTCCTAGAGGGACTTCCCATTGAATTCTTTTCATCCCAATCTTCGTTTCAATCCGAATCTCTCAGGATGGCTCAAAACCTGGAACCTCACCAGCAGATTTCTCGACTAGAACTCATACCTGACGGGTTTCTTGTATCTCCACCTCCTCAGCCTCTCAAGATCAAGCACATCGACTTCGCATCATCTGATATACCCGAGAATGCCGAATGCCTTGCCCTCACCATCGACAACATTCTCTCCAAGGCAGAGTGCGACCAGCTCGTGTCTTTGGCGGAAGCGAGCGTCTCAAACATAAAAGAAGACGAAACGCCATGGAAGCCTGCAACAATAAAAATTGGTCAAGGGATTCAGGCTACGGTGCGAGACTATCGACACTGTGATCGGATCGAATGGGACCAGCAATCGATAGTGGACCGCATATGGGACCGATGTGCGCAGGCTCCTGGGTTAAGAGAGCTGTTGGCTGAAGTTGTCCCCGAGGGTAGCTTCGAAGGTGAGAAATGGGAGTTTCGTCGTTTGAACCAACGTATGCGCTTCCTCCGGTATGAGCCCGGCCAGTTCTTTAAGCGTGAGCACATGAGTGTTTTGAACTTCCCCCCAACCTACTGTCTTCTGCTAACGTTATGGAATAGCTCACTGCGACAACCCAATCTGGTACAAACATAAACGTGCAGAGTTTCAGACCCATTACACAGCGATGCTGTATCTCGGCGACTCTACTACCGAACGGGGAGGGACAGAGCCTCTAGAAGGAGGCGTCACATCATTTCTATCCCAAGACAGAGAAAGAAGGGTCGATGTCGATCCTAGGGCCGGTAGTGTGCTCATTTTCCAACAACGAGGGCTTCTTCATGAAGGAACCGTGGTCAAGAAAGGCGTAAAGTATGTGATGCGGATGGACATGGTGTATGAGTGGGTTGAAGGTGGAGAGGATGCCAATAAACGGGTTAGGGTGTAGGTAGTCAAGCAGCCCTATCAAGAGTGAACCAATATATAAGGTAGCTATTGTTAGGAAATGCTGAATACCCTTGACCAAAAACTATCAATCTAAAGATTAAATACAGTTGAGCTACTTGCGTATGCCAGCAAAATCACATAGTGCTAGTAATCTATGGCCATCGGCCTGCCGCTCCGAACCCGCATGCCCGGGGAGGAGCGCTTCATTTTCCTGTATCCGCTGCGCCTCTGGCCGCGTCGATAGTTCCTGTTATTGGACCTTTTAGGAAGGAGTTGCTTTGGCTTGCTGACCAGCTTGCAGACATTGTTCGCACAATTCACGATGTTCTTCTTGGTCTTGTCTGCATACTCTCCGGTTTTGTCCTTGACAAGCACGGCAGCAGCGCCAACGTTTTTTACCGTTGTCTGCCAATTCGTCGTTATAGCTTTCTTCGTATCTTTAAATTCACCCGTTCGGTAAGGCTGCGCCGTGTCCTTGGCCATGAAACAGCAGAATGCCATCGCTCCTAGCGCAATGGAGGTGGCCGGTTGGCCATTGACGCCACAAACGATGGACCCAACGGTGCAGCCATTTGCAGAGTATGCGAGCCTGTGTGAAAACTCATTTATTAGTGTCAAGATTTTTTTGGGCTGCCCGGGGTGAGAGAATACATGCCATTTCTCGTTTGACTTGTCGTGCCAGGCGGCGGAGACAAGTGGTGTGGCGAGAGACGCGAAGGCGCAGATGGAGGCAATGTTAAAGCGCATGATAATGGAAGGAAATGTATTGTTTGTGTTGACTTGTCTAGATATATGAGGATATAGGACAGGCAATTAGCAGGAAAGTGACGGACGGAGTGGGAGATGTTGCTTTGCTTGATTCGTAAAATTCAAGACGACCTGAGCAGATTCCATCGAACTATATAATTCTCGTGAAGCTGGCTTGTCAGAGTTTTCTGTAGCCGAGAGCCTCATATCAAAACTAACGAAGGTTCCTAAAATAGCCCGAATTAGCAGAGGGAACTCCCGAAAGGACAAGCCCAAGCATCGTCGGTTGCCCGTAACCATACTAATCAGCGGGGCTACAAATTTGCTCAAACACCCTGAACCAACCGGAAGCCATGTTGCCATGTTCTCGTGACAAGGTATTTATGCTGTTGGTTCTGCTGCAGCTTCATGCAGAAGCTGTCAAGCCAATTCGGGTAAGGGGTAGGCAGGCAGCGTCCGCGGCGACTCGGATCCACCATTCTGTTGGTAAGAAACTGCTATACATTAACCCGGGGTGGGAATACCAAGCGAAATCACTCCATCAACGACCCACTGTAGGATTGGAGAAGTGGGTGGCGTGGCTCAGACTGACGAGGCACCAGTTTTGACGTTCCCCAAGAGCTAAGTGCTTTGCTCACCCCTTTGATTTCGATCAACCACAGCGCCAGCAGGAGCCATCACCATCGCCATCATCTTCTCACCACTCAAAATGTCTTCCAATACTGATGGCCTGCCTCCCTACCAGGAGAAGCCTTCTTCTGCTCAAGAAACAACAGCTCCTAGTGCTCAGTCCAGCCGCCTCGCTTACCCCAGCCGCCTTGCTGGTAGCATCCAAACTTGCTCGATAAGCGATGGCTATATGGACCATTTCTCTATCACTCGTGTTTCTGATTCAACCTACCATCTAGCTCTTACGGTAGACCCTACACCCATTTATCGCATCGAACTCATCCTTGGGCCTACCAAAGTCGGCAATATCCAAATTTTCTCTGCGTCTGATACCACGCTCCCTGCTCTTGCTGCAGCCCGCACATCAGCTGAGAAGAAAGGCAAGAAGGTGCCTGTGGGCACGATATGCACCTCCTCACCCACTGAGCCTGACGCGCACTGGCGTCCCGTCTTTTGCACGAAAGACGGCTATGCATGGTTCCGGTACAGCAGCGAGATACCAGTCGTCAAGGTGCCTGGCCGAGCTGCCAAACCTCAAACTTTCGAATGGGATGTCGACGATGAGGAACCTACACGACTGTGGTGGCAAGGTCCACTCCCCTTCCAACCACGACCGCTGCATACTGCGGATCCAAAATCGTTGCCCTTTCTCTTTGCGCAAGTAAAATTTGAGCCTGATGAGGGGGAGCATTTGGTGCAAATCCGGAGGGGAGGAGGCATTGATTTTGAGTTGAGCGTTATTTTGGAGGCATTTCTGTTCTCAAACCTGAGTATGAAAGTGAAGTCGGCCTGATCTATTCGAGTCTAGATTGGACCCTGCCCTAGGAGAGAGCCCTTACTGCGAGAGACAGCTTTGCAACTACCACAATGAAATATGTGAACATTGGGATTTATCGATGCAACCCCGCTTCAATTGCCACTCTGTTGTCCGTGTGTAAATGAACGGGCCGACTGAATTTATGTCATTCGTGTGATAGAATTGTCTGTTGGACATTAAGGTTGTTGGCAACGTAGCAATATAGATGAGCTATTCTTTTATAATTGTGATTCTGATGAAATAGTCGGTAACAGTTCAGCTAAGGGAGGCTTAAAGACGTTATTAGGCAAGTAAAAGGCGAGGCGTGCAAGCAGTAAAATTCCACTATATCTACATTTACATTACACTGTCCCTTTAAGGGTTGAGTTTGTTAGCCAAGCCTATAACAGACTGGACAACAGGATAATGGGAGAACCTATGATTGTACACCTAGGGTCCAGTTAGAAGAACATTAACAAAGAGAAGGATGGGGAAACGTACGGTCTGACAGCGTCGGTTATACTCGTCGGTGCTGCCAACTGTAATGGCCAACTCGTCTCCTGGAACGCCGAGCTTGGCAAAAGCACCAGATCTTGCGGATGCCTTCGCCCAACCGGGACCAGCAGCTGGGTTCTTGATCCACTTGACAAACCATTGGTGAGTATGATCAGCTAGCGCCTGCTGAGCGGCGGTGACTCCTGCTAGAGAATCAAAGCATTCATTGCCACCGTGGAAGAAGGGGACCTCGGTACCGTGGGTAGGGGCTGTGTTGGGTGGGCCGACCACGTTGTCATACTTTCCATAGAACCGGTATACCCAGGTATCTTGCTTCTTGCTACGCATATCGACAAGGTAGTCGACGGGGCAGTTGAAGCGGGCGTCTCCATACTGAGCTCCGCTGCGTAGGGACTCGGAAGCAAAGTCTTTCGGGTTGTAGGCATGAATGAGAGAGCAGTTGGAGAGGAAGGCGCTGTCGGCATCGAAAGTCTTGATCCAAGACTTGAAGTCTGTGTTCTCGTTACCGTAGACGATGCTGAAGACCGTACCCTCGCCATCGGAGTTACCAGTGATCAGAGGGACATGAGAAGCGTACTCGCCTTTGGCGAAGCGATCACTGTAATTCGAGAAGCGTGTGATATCATCAACAACAGGAGTGAACCAGGTGTTGAAAGTTGAGTTGAAGTTTGCACTCTCGAAGCTGAAGAAGTCAATATTGCGCAGGCACTCAATCTGACCATTGCCACCCGTTGGGCATCCAACTTCAGCGGAAACGGCATCAAGAGCTTCGTTGATAGGAGCATATGCTGGGCCGAGATGTCATTGGCGCTCATCATAATAGCGCCCTTAAGCCAGGTTTTGGGGTAGTTCCACAGGTAGTGGTCGACCTGGACACTTCCAGATGAGTGACCACCAAAAACGATGTGGTCAGGGTCACCGCCAAAAGCTATTGTTCGTCAGCAACGAAATGATTCATATCAACTGAATTTGCATCCATACCTTTGATATTGTTGCGGACCCACTGAAGAGCCTCCTCCACATCAAGGATACTGAAGTTTTGACTCTCGAATGGGTGGGCAGCCTTGAGCTCAGATGAGTGAGGTGACGCGAAGATGCTTTCACGGGTGTTGAAGTTGACGTAGATGACGCCATTGCGGGAAAAGTTGTTTCCCTGAAGTTGAGGGTTGCTGTTCGAGCCCGTGACCATGGCACCGCCGTACATGTACACAAACACCTACGCATTTGTTAGGTGGATATGATACCACATCAATGAAACAGAGTGAGATACCTACAGGTAGGTTCTCGCCAGAAGAAGGTGCCCTGATGTTGAGGTTCAAACAATCCTCATTTTGCTTGGAGAATGCTTTATTCGTCACGGCTTGAGGGCATGTTGGGCCATAGGTCTCAGCCTTGAAGAGGGAGATCGAGGCACGAAGAGGTTGAGGAGGGCGCCAGCTGCGAAAGTTAATATCTAGCTGAAAGGGAGACAGTTACCAGAGATAGATCTTAGCATACCGATTTTGTCCACCCGTGGTAGCAGCGAAGGGAATTCCCAGGAAGACAGAGTTACAGCTAGAGTCGTGGAATCCCTGGATGGTCCCCTGAGGAATGATAGCCTTGGGAGCAGACTGGGGGCAGATAATGGTTGTTGTCGCCGCCACAAGAGACAGCAACGATACTAGCACTAGACCTGTGGTCATTATGACTCTTGGCTTATTTCTGTCGCGGTTGTAGAACTGTGAAAATGGAGGCGGTGGTCAAACAACCACCATCACATGCACTGAGCAAGCGAAACTCTCGATACTAATAGTAACCCACTCATGATGTAAATGCTTGTTAGATAGGGGCGAAGATTAACATAAACAAGGGGCCCTGCTGCAACTTTGAGAGCCAATCAGGATGGTGTCCATCACTGCCCAGAGCAACGCAAACAGGTATCAAAAGACATCCCACACCCCGTTCCACAGAGCTAATTTCCTTTCCACAACGCCATCTCGATGGCCGGCACACAAGATAGCACGCCTCAGAAGGAGATTATGAAGCTTATGCCATGTCATAACGTGGCTGTGGAGGAATTGACCGGAGTTTCCCCACTGTAGAACATGTCTCGTCGGCGGCAATACGGATATCACTCGGCGAAACTTCAGTATCCGGAGGCAAGCGTTGAGCTGAACCGACAGGCGAGACCGGATCTCGGCAATAACTCATCCTTTCCTAGTGCCACTACGGGAACGTCATACCAGCGGATAAATGGCAACGCTCAGTTGTGTCTTTAATCCATGGAGGGCACCGAGGAATGAGAGGACGTCAACATTTTCGTCATGACTAGATATAATGAAGATGGGAATCATGACAGTGATGATATCCGCGGCAAAGTTGGGATGGCGGAACACGCTACATCAAATGCTTTTCTTTCTAACGTTCGAACTAAGGGAGTTATCGCATCATTCACCCGTGCCAGTCCAAATAAGGAAAAACCACGGTCAACTGGGCACGTAGAGAGTGATACCCAAGCATACATCATCTACCTTGACCTGAAGACCCTTGATCACCTGTCTCATGGCTAGCTTGGACTAAATGGTGACCTAAAACGGGAATTCGAGAATCAATGATGTTGTTGGTGCTAGGAACATCTATTTAGCCTGGCAACTAGGCATGGCTGCGATCCTTTCCGGCCATGGCTCCAAAAATGTCATTCTCTGAACCAATCCCGCCATCTTCTGGACGCCCCCAACGGTTCAATAAAGTTTCCCCCTTTTTTGCAATAGCTTCCCATGGGCTCTTTGTAAAACCCACGCGAGGATCCGACCCACCGTTAATAGGTAAGCATTGCCTCAGCAGAACAGGCATGTTATCAGGAGAATTGCTTTTGGTCCATCAGATGTTTGATAAGTCACACACAAGGACAAGCAGGGACCCTGCCATGCCATGCGGGTCTCCCCAGAGTTCCTTCGCACTCTCACAGATCTAGAGGGAAGAGTAAGTAAACTCTTGCATCTTAACACCATCGTTGATGATCGTCTGCTCAACCGTCTGCTCGACTAACTCTGATGCGAGTTCGTTGTTCACTTTGCGCGACTGATGACCTAGAAAGCGAACCACGTTCACAAAGTAGGGAGAATACGCCTACAACGATCCCGTGGCCAATTTTACCCATTAGAATCTTTGCGTAGCCTGAAACCGAGGCGAGACGAGATGGCAGAGGGTTTCAATCAAGTGGTATGGGCTGCCTGTTACGCGAATACGGTACAACTCGTTGACAAACGCTGACAATACAATGCAGGTCTCGTGGTACGTGTGCACTATCCTCGCCTGGATCTTGGTCATTGCCCGACTGTTCACCCGATGGCGAAAGCTAGGAAGCTTGAGACTCGATGATGCCTTCATCATCTTGTCAGCGTGTTGCCTGGCTGGCGACTTAGCCATTCAGCAGCACATGTGGAATATGGGCATGGGTGAGATACCCAAAGCCAGTCGGGACAATTATATCGAGATGATGAAGGTGAGGGCGACAGTTTCGACAATCGCGTAATTTTCTGACAGCATGTAGATGATTATCCCCGGATCGATCCTCTACGTCTCATCACTGTGGGCAATTAAAATCGCCCTGGTCATCTTCTATAAGCATATCGCGGCTCCCGGAACGAAGTTACAGATTATCTACAACGTCACTCTCGGAGTGCTGGTTACTACATACCTCGTCATTTTCTTCCACATCATCTTTCAGTGTTACCCGCCAAACAAGCGATGGTCTCAAGACTCGTTGTGTTAGTCTCGTCGAAATGCTGTATCCCTGCCAGCTTTACTGATGATCCCTTAGATCAATGTAACCCCCAAAACGCAGAAATAAATTACTGGATCACGGTCACAAGTACGTTACTCATCACTACGTGGCTGTAGTAAGAAGACTAACCAAATCCCAGTGAACATTGGAACAGATGTTATTAGTAAGTGTCGACACGGCACTGAGTAATTATGGTTGCCTCGTGCAGATTGTATTGACAACCAACAGCTCTCGGCCTACCGATCTCCATGGTACTTCAACTCCAGATGAAAACAAGGAAAAAGATTGGTGTCTGCGCCGTCTTTGCTCTCGGCTTCCTCGTTGTCATTGCGAGTGGTATGTCGCAATTCAAGCCACGAGTGCCACATGTCCATGGCTAACACCGAATCAAAGTCATCCGTGCCTATTTCTCCAAGCGCGATGAGACCATGTTAACATGTACCGTTTCTATGGTTTGAAGAAACTGTGGCAATTATCGCCAGCTGTCTCCCACGTGCGTCGCAGAGACCAACCCCTTTCCAAGAAAGCCTCAAAATACTGACATACAAATAGCCCTTCGCTCAGTGATAACGGGCTAGTTCTCCACAGCAGCATCCAGGCCTAACTACAACTATTACGGCGGCCGCATCGAGCTTTCGTCTGTAAGGAACTCGAACCCCGGGGGACGCACGCGCAGTAGCCGGATAACCCACATTGTCGGCGGAACACGGGCCCGGCCCAACGACTCGGAAGATGAGCTGTTCAAAGAAGTCGAGGCCTACAATACGCCCAATTTCAATGCGTCCGAAAGCAGCAACAAGAATGGCATCACTGTGAGCACGACGTCCCAGGTCAAGAACTCCCTGGACAAGGAGTGTGTTGCCGAATGAGCATGAGCGGTATAGTTATTCCTCGTAGGTGAAGTATCTCTAGGAAAGGGAGAGGAATTATATATTATAGGAAGAAAAAGAGAAGGAAAAGCCTCTTAAGTTCTTGATCTAAGGATACTGGGGGTACCTGGGATAGATAATTAGTCAAAAGGGGAATTTATATCGGGATAATCTTATCAATATACAGATCGCACAATAACAATACTAACAATAACAACAACAACAATAACAGTGATAATAAATATTAAACCTCTAATAAGCTGGATTTTAGTTGGATTCTATATCAGCAAGGCCTTGTTCAACTAGTTCCCATGCCTCAGGGCTTAGGTAGCCGGTTATCCAGTAATTTCCCTCATGGTCCTTCCCAGGAATTCCCATTGAATTGCGAGACAAGCGACTCTTTCTCAACAACGTGGAGTGGTGATACACCATTGTGCCCAGTGGGTTCTTCCGTGTGTCATCGCTCTCGCCCTGTTTAACAACAGCGGGCCCGAATTGGATTGCGTGCACAAAGTCTGCCTTGGTCCAGTTCGACAAGGTAAACAACCATCCATCCGAAGGACCATACACCGGGTTGCGGTAGCTGCCCCGATCCCAATTCCTGCGAAGCTCTCTAAGATGGCTCAGCACCTGCTCAGGTGGAAATTGCTCTTTCAAACACCGGCGGTGCTCTAGGGCAATACCACTTACTGGCCCCTTGTACAATTCAGCGCTGACGGTCGTGAATGTTAGCAGCACCATATTCTGGACGTACATGCCGTCGCGGGACACTGTTTCTGGAAGCCGCGAGCGCAGATCAAAAAGGCCGCCTATGATCATCGGTCTAGCACCTGGATTGCTAAGAGCGGCCTTTTGAGCAAACCAGGCTGTCAGGATGTCTCCTTCACTAATCCAAGCGTCTCCTGTCTCTGCACTATTTTTCTCTGCAATCTCTCGCTTCATCTGGGCCCGAAGATTATCTATGACGCGCTTAGGGATATACGCGGTTCGGGAGTCCGTAGCAGGGTTGAGTAACATATCCTTCAAGAACCTCAGCCCAAACATGAGCATCTTCAAACCAAATAAACGAGTCGGCTCCAACACAAAAGGCTTTTGTTTTCCAAAGCTTGGGTCTGCAGCCTTGTATAAGACATCCTCCCGGGCACCAAGGAAAGGAGGAACCTCGGCCTCTTTGCCGGCCAGGATAAGAGACCAGGAACTCATAATGGCATGTCGACTCATGGCATCCGTCACGGCGTGCGGCCAAGCAAGCCCTATGACAGTTGCATCATCGAATGAGGAGATGTGCAGCGACAACAGTGGAACATCGCGGCTGAGATAGTCTTCCAATGTCTGGGGGGCGTCAGGACCGGTCGTTAAGCCCAGGAAATCGTGAGGACCCGCAAACACTTGAGCCTTGGCTCCAGCTATCGGCAACTTTCCAGCCAGCTCGTGCTCCGCGATCTTGATGTTGAATGTCTGGTGAGAGTAGGTTACTGGAGGACGCGCCGCGGTGAACGGCACGGGGACATGGAACTCCAACCTCCCGCTCTTTCCCACTCTCATCCTGCCGCCCAGTTTCTTCCAATCTCCTATGTTAAGGAGCTTGCACAGCGCTTCATGTAGCTTATCCGCGTCCAACACATCGTTGAATCGCATTGTCCAACCAAGAATGAGTGGCCTGAGGACGTCAGCGCTGTCGATGCCGTGGACGGGATAGATTTCGTCCCCATCGACGATTGGATGGTTCTTGATGCCAAAAAGCCACCGTATCGCCTCCATTTTGAAGAATTTATAGATGCGGTTCGCTGGGGAAGTTGCTCGGCCTCGTTTGTCTATGAGATAAGATCGTGGTGATGGGCTGACGAGTTGAAATGAACCAGCGCGCTTAAAGTACATTGATTACTAACAGCCCTGTCTGTCTCCTTTTTTAAATAAGAGTAAGCGCCGCTTGTTGGCAAGTGGGTGACATTGAAATTGAGACACTCAAACATTAAGCTGCTTATTCTCAAGTCTGCGACCGTTATCAGATTATTGAGTCCCAATAATATATACTTCAGAGACAATAACATACGTATTGTTACTTTTATTTTATATTTATTGTATAAAGTAGTCGATTAATAAACGCACGTCCATTAGGTGTCTCATTTCTCCTGTCGCCCACTCGGTTGGATCCTTCTACAGAAGGATCCTTGGCATCGCGGGTGTTCTTGGCCCAACTGTGTGACTTATTGTCAATAACCTGCAAAATGCTTTGAGCTGTGTAAGATGTTTATTTTGACTACTTCCTTAAGCGTATAATGCCAAAGAGTTAACACGGTTTCCCTTAACTTTCTACCCCCTGTCTTTGATGGCCTTGGGGGCAGAGAACTAAGAGTATGACTATTTTGGCTATAATCCGCGAGGCATGTAGTTTTCTGGTACGTTGGTCAAGACAACATGTTTAATCTTAACCTAGAAAGGGATTTCTATTTCTAGGCACTGAGAGAAACTGCCACGTGATTGGCCAAATTCGATGCTCTCATTGGAAATGGCGCACTGCCCTACGACGAAATGCAGAGGGCAGGTCCTTTCAACATAGCAACTGATTTCTTCTAGGCATGGATCGCCGAGGTCTGTCCTGGAGTGAGTAAGGAGTATTCATAAAGCTATAAGATTATCCCGATATAGATTCCCCTCTCAATTAATTATCTACTACCCCAGGTACCTCTAGTATCTTAAGATTAAAATCTTAAGAGGCTTTTTATTCTCTTTTTTTTTCCCTATAATATATAATTTATCTCCCTTTCCTACAGGCGCTTCGCCTGCGAGGAATAATTGGTCGAATGGCAAATAGTTCAATCTGGGAAGTTCACCACGGCCGTTTCATCCTTGGCTTGAAAAGACACCATGTAAGCTATAGATTTTGAGGGCCGGAAAGGAGACCTACGCGGTAATACGGACTTGGAGACGATCAACCAGATAAACCAAACAGGTCCGGCTTCTTCATGCTCATCACATCGAAGACCTGCCTGCCCGGCCGATCATGCAGCGCGTTGACCCATACAATGTCCTGTAATCTTCCTCGTACCTCTGGCCACGTCGAGGGCGACACGTCTGACAACCAGCGATCGCGCAACCAGGGATCCTCGGGTTTGTACACCGTCATTGCGCCGACCATCAGCAGCCATAAATGCAGATCCCGCCGGTCCGGCGTCGTCTCGATAGACTGACATGCCTCTTTGAGCCGGGTTTCGAGGTAGGGGTAGCTACATGGCGTCCGTGGAACTTGAAACAGCGTTGCTAGAAAGGCCAGCATGCCTAACCGGAAGCACTCTTCTAGGAGGTCAGGCAGTGTGGCTTGCAGGCGCATGAGACGGCGTTGGATGGAACACACAATTTCATGGAACTGCCTATCACTGATGGTCTGTTTGCGGACGACTGCAGTATTGAGAAGCGCACTGAAATATTGTAGATCGCCGAAGACGGTGGCCAGTCTGGAGTCCACGACGAATTTGGCCCCGGACAACTCTGGTATAAGGCCATAGACGGGGTTTTCGGACGGAAGGGGTTTCTTAAAGTCGAATAGCGGATTCCAGAATGAGAGCTCTGTCTCAAAGATCGATGGCTGCTGTCCGGGGTCGAGACAAAGGCCGAAATCGAGACTAAATTTCATAGTTAGTCGCGAGAAAGACGGCCGAGGTGGTTGGGAATATTAACATACCGACTCAGCTTGATCCACATTTTGTTATTTGACCGGAACGCATCCAAACCCCCACGTAGATGCACCAGCCGTTGAAGACCGCCGATGTGCGTCTGCTTGGCCTCCTCATCCCCGGAATAGTCGGCAAGCCTAGTAAGGTTGAGCACTATGGAAATAGTTGCGTCATTCCGGGCGAGGATATTATCCGACAAGCGCTCGTTCAACAGACTAATAGTCTTTTGCAAGTGCTGGTGCGTTACGTTGCTGAACGGCTTCCTTGTCTTGTAATCCACCATGGCGGACGCACTGAGCAGAACTGATTGGAAGAATCCCAGATCGTACGAAAGCCACACAAACCAAGAGCTCCTGCTGCGCTCATAGTCAATGCCGAGCTCACGGGGATACAGGAGAGAGTTTGACTCGACGAAGTCTCCAAGAGGGGTTAGCCGGGATGCATTAGAAGTTTGGGACTAGAGGCTTGACTGACACTCGAAGAGGAGTTTCCGTGTCTTTGGATCGATATCCTTGACGAATTTGACGAGTAATAGGTCGGAAGGAGGGGCTACGGGGGAGTGCACGGGAGTCGGCCCCTGGGACCCCTTTCCATTCTCCCCACCTCGACCACTGCCATGCTTGGGGGGTTTGGTTTTAGGATCTGTCCTTCTCTTGTTTTTACCGATCATGCAGTGACTCCTAATCAGTCTCCTATCAGCTGCTTGTTGCACTTGTCCGATACCGTTGACAGAAACGAAGGCGAAAGTATGTGGCGCATTTGCCGGACGCGTCCTCTTCTTCGGCATTGCGTTCGATGTACTCTGTAGCAGGAATGGTATGAAAATTCTCTCTTTGATTATCGCGCCGGCGTTCAGTGCTACCCAAAATGGAGAACAATCATCGATTTGAGACCGCGCATGGACCAAAAGCTCTTGTAAAAGCGGAAATTAGTGCGAGGAGAAGTTCAAGTTTAATATACCAGATTCATTCCAGGGACTCCACCAACAGGGTACATTGTTTTCCTTTTTCAGAATAGTGCGGATATTGAGCCAACTTGTAAATGGCAGAGCCACTTCCCACACAGCCTGAAATACATGCATATAAGAATCCGAGTCTTCCTGACTTTCACATAGTTCTCACTGAGACTTCCCCTTGTATCTACTAAACAAGAAACTTTCGGAATGGCACCTCCTACTATCATCGTCTTTGGAGCCACCGGCCACGTTGGCTCCGCCGCCGCGATTCGAGCCCAAAAGCTTGGAGCAAAGGTCATTCTGTCGGTGCGTGATCTGCAAAAGCCTATCTACGGCCTCAGCCTCGAGGACGAGAAGTCCAGCGGGTTTGAGCGAGTCCAAGCCGACCTCACCCAGCCCGGCACTGTCGAGTCTGCAGTGCGCTCGACCGGAGCCAAGCATGCCTTCATATATCTCGTGCGTTCGAAGGAGGGCTACCTAAGATCCACCATTGAGGCTCTCAAGTTGGCTGGCGTCGAGTTCGTGGTCTTTCTCAGCTCTTACACTGTCCAAGGCGATATTCGGACAATCACACCTTCCTACCTGGTACCCTACGCCCACGCACAGGTTGAAATTCACCTCGGCGAAGTCTTCGGATCTCATGGCTACGTCGCGATTCGACCGGGCTACTTCAATACCAACGCCGCTCGATGGGCGAGCATGATACGCGAGGGAGAGGTCAAGATCTCTTATCCAGAGGTCAAATTCGACTGGATCACGCCCGCCGACGTCGGCAGAGCGGCTGGGACTGTACTTGTGCAAGGAATGCATGCTACACAAGGCGTCGAACCACGCAATTCCATCTCGGTTTACGGACCCAAGCTTCTATCGCAGATAGAAGCCGTCGGGATCTTTAGCAGAGTTCTTGGCAAGGATATCAAGGTCACCGAACAGAGCGACGAGGAAGCGGTGCAGTATATGGTGAAAGCTGGGATGCCGCCGCCCTTGGCCCAGCAAATGGTAACACTGTTGGCAGGGTTTGAATTGAACAGCAAGGCACACGAAGAGGCAGTCGCCAGTTTTCAGAAATATGCCGGGCAGCTCACGACCTTGGAAGAGTGGGCCAAGGCTAACAAGCATATTACTCATCCCCGGAATAGTCGGCAAGCCTAGTAAGGTTGAGCACTATGGAAATAGTTGCGTCATTCCGGGCGCTCTGTTGTGAATCTACACCATCTATCTAGTCTCAAAGAGGTAGCACACACCAAACTCTCACTTAAAAGCTTCGCAAGAGCTAGCGGGCTCAACTGTCGCTTGAATTGATGCCGCATCACCAATGACTTAAGAACTTCGACCCGTGGAAGCCTTTGACTCCCATTTGGCCACCGGAACTGAATAAGAGACCCGAGGTGTCGTTCCGCTACATGAAGAGACTCTGAGTTTTGCATTTGCCCCATCCCTGCCTGACAGTGTGGCGAAGAATCAAAATGCTCACGGTCTAGCTTCCGGAAATGAGCGTCGTGGAACATGATCACGTCATGCGGGTTAATGTTTAGGTCCCATGGTTTGAATGGGTAATCCTCATGGGTTGCAACATCATAGTAAAAATGCTTATTATCACTGGGGCATATTATGCGTATCTCAAGAGTGATGCCATCAGAGCTTTCTGGTCGTGGCCAGGTTGAGAGGATGAAAAACAATTTATGCATGACCCCAGTGAATATCAAATCGTTCCTATCCATAGAAAATACGCTCTTAATATTCTGTGTATAATTAAAATCTTCATTTGGAGAAAATATCATACCTGTAAGCCTCGAGTTCAGTCTCATACTCCATACATTGGAAACAGTCATACTCCAATATTTCAATACGAAGCCATATATACTCAATATATTGGATTCGGTGCGTCTTCTTGCCTCCGGTTATCATTCGATTAAAAGTTTCTATAGTTGAGCTATTGAGAATAAGATGTTGAAATGTGATCTTCTCAATAAATCTCTGCCATTCAGAGCAGATTGTTGCGTATCTGGCAACACCAGAGTCTTGGCAGAGGACCTCAAGAATCAGCCGTCGGATCTCTTGTGGAAAATGAGACCATGTGCTTCTTCGTTGTGAGAGATTCATCTTGGAACTGGCAAGAGGGTTAGGCAGGAAAGAAAAAGCAGTAAGGAGGAATGGTCATGGTCATGGATTTGAGGGGAGTCCGATCTCTTGAAGTATTCCACCAGACGTGGATGGGGCTTTGAGACTTCCAGATTTCTACCGATATGGGCCAGAGCAATAGAAGGGGAAAATAGAATAAAAAATACTTCACCACCCTTAGTGGATGGCCGCCTTCAAATAGGTGGAAAGCAGGATTTTAAGGTTCATGATGAGAGGCACGCTGGCGAAAAAAGAGTTATCATGCCGGGCACAAGCCATTATTGGCACTTTAGCTATAGCTGGATTTAAGCCTCATATATGGGCAAGAAGGCTGAACTTTAATGTGTTGACCGTGTTGTGATCAATTTGGGATTTCTTTGTGTTCAGGTGCTTTTAGGCGGTATGGAAGAAGATTGAGTAGAACTACGGAATCACCAGACAAAACCTTTCCCTGATACAGAAGGAGTAAATACGGAAACGCCCCGTAGCTCTGTTTCTCATAAACCCTAGTATAGAGTAGATTAAACGTACACATCTAAGGCGGCGTGCCCTTGTTTGTGAATACAGGGGCGGTTTCCAGGTCATAATTCGTTGCTGGGAAAGCTGGAAATCGAACGGTCCCACAATAGAGTAGCGGCAATCCACTGGCTGAGCCATGAGAAAGTTTACGATTTGCTGATGTCTACGTTGGTCATTTGTCCGGAGGGAGAGCAAGTATAGCTTATTGTCTACAAGACCTGATCGGCACTTTTCCACCCCGGATGACTCAAAATTACTCGTCACATTTCGGCAAGACCTACGTTCCCCCTGGTTTCTGACCGTAAGAGTCATTAGGCAACCGTGAGCTGCCGGTAGGCGAGAGGAAATCTGCCGGCGGCGCTAACTAGTAATGCAACGTGACACTACGTTGCTCCTTGGAGCTGCTCTTTTTTTCGCTAGCGCAGGTCGTAGTTATCTAAGAAAATCAACTTCGAGCAAACTCGGGCAAGCGACTGACATAAACCATGACATAGCTAGACACTCGAGCATTGAGTTTTAACACAATATTAAAGTTATTGACCTAGTGATAAACATAATATTAAGCTAAATTTCGTAGAATAATTTATCATTCTGTTATTGTTATGTTTAATTAAAAATGAGGTCCTTGCTCACGTGAAAGGAGCCCAGGCAAATCGATGCCAGAACAGAAGAATCAAACATCGGCTCAAGAGGCAAGAAAACCACATATGGCTCATACTCGGACAGTGCCAATGCTGATCTCGAATCTTATGTCCAGAAATCTCTTCGCTTTCCACAGTTCTCGTTTACGATTTACGCTCTTCAAGTCGTGAGCCAAGACGGGCGGGTCCCACCAAAACGTTCCAGAACCTCTGCCATCCATGCATATTTTAGCCCTATTGAAGATTGCCTCCCGATTGGACAGCGCGTATCGTCGAGCTTTTTAACGGATACACGTCATCAGTTTACATATCAACCACTGCTCGGCCAGTTTCGAGGACCAGTATCGGGTCTCGTTACGACCTGTTCAATCAGTTGGCTCTCTCATCAGCGGTCGTTTTCTTCCCCGTGATATATTGTGTAAGAGAAAAAACACACGATGGTTGAAAAATCCAATAATAAAGGCCACGCCAAGCCGTTGGCCAAGCCCAAGAGGACCAGGGCATACGCTCCCAAGGTTCGCACTGGCTGTATAACCTGGTACGCCCCAACCATTCCCAGCCCTATCTACATGTACCCAAGCTGCATAAACGGAAAAAAGAGAATCCAGCAGCCAATTAGGGTGGAGGCTGCGCATCGCGACTCTTGCTAACTGTCTTGCAGCAAGTAAGACACTCTCGCTCTTGGCGAGGTAGCTCGGCCGGATTCTCTTGTTCTAATTCTTGCTACCTATTCTAGAATACGTCGAAAAAAGTGCGATGAAGAGAGGCCAACGTGTCTTCGATGCAGAGAAGGCGGCTGGAAATGCGACGGCTACGCTCCCGTCACAAAGCGCAGTCCCAACAAGAGCACCTGTACGAGCACCTGTACGAGCGACGAGGAAAATAGCAGTGTAAAAGATTCCGTGGCAAATCCGACTACTCAAGGAGCTATAGTGAAGATGTTTTCTTCTCAGACGCCCACAGCAAGATTACAATCGGCCGCACAGCTCCTGCCACGCCCAACAAGCCTTGATACCCTGGAATCGCTTCTTGAGAGGCGCTTCCTGGGCCACTTTTTCAAGTTCACCCTCAACAGCATCAGCTCATCTTATGATACCGGGAACTTTTGGTTGTGGACGCTCCCTAATCTGATCCAGGACCATCGACTGATTCGTCATTCCATCACCGCGCTTGGCGCTGCGCACTGGATGTTTCAGAGCGACGGCCTCATCGCGCCAAATCAGATTACACAGTACAATGGGTTCATCCACAGGCAATACACCATGGCCATCTCTCACCTAATTCCCATCATGTCGAATAATCAATCGGAGAACATAGAATTAGTCCTCGTCTCTTGCCTACTGTTCATCTATCTTGAGACTCTGCAGGGTCATCACTCGGAAGCTCTCCGACACTTGATTTCGGGTCAAAAGCTGCTGAAAAATCTCAGCCAAAGAGGCTCCATGTCATGCGTGGAAGCGACGGGAATGCTTCCAAAAATCGCCACCTTATTTCGAGCACTCGGAAGTATTGTCAACGCGTTTGGCGAAAACAAGATACTGTCAGATCTCACAGTCTACGCCAAGCCAATGCATGGGCCTGGCGATCCCAACCAGCCATATGACAGCTTAACAAAAGCGATGGACGACTTGACTTTGCTTGAATTGGAACTATCAGATATTCAATGCCCAGAGGAGGAAGCCATCAGGAGAAACTCCAAGCTGGAGGAGGAGAGAGACAGGCAACAGAAAATGTACGACGCCGTGATTCAACGATTCCTAGTTTGGGACAAACGATTTGCAGAGACAGAGAAAGTCATGTCACCTTCTGACAACTATGATTTCCTCAATCTAAAGGTGCAACAGGCAATGTGGCAGCTTGTTCTAGGAGAAGAGTTTGATGAAGAGCCTGAGCTACAGCCGGAAGAGTGCTGGCCGCTGCTGGATATGATCGAGAAGATGCTGATAATGACTCCTTCGACACAACGAACTTTCGCCCTCAGGGCGGATTTGATCCCACCACTGATAGGAATTTACGGGACATGCCCGGATTTTGCGGTAAGGAGACGGGCGATCACGCTGCTTCGGTTACGCAGACGAAAGGAGCTCGTATGGGACGGTGAGGAAGCGGCTGATTTCCTGGAGAACGATTTGAAGATGTGCATGGTAGGCTTGAAAACCCCTTCATGGCCAGACATCGGGCCGCTGGCCAACAAAAACGCACTGTTAAGTTATGATGATGGCAATTGATGAAATTCGCACTTCAGAGGGAACCAGCAATGCTATGTTCACTACCTATCCTAAGACTACTAAACACAATAATAAGATAGTAATCATTCTATAATACTCATGTTCGTATTGTATTTCTTAAGAGGTTTATGGTTGATTTATTGCTTAACCATATCGAAATTCAACGCTAGAGGCTCTGGATGTGCTATGGCCTAGGTCAGTCGCTTGATCCGTTCTTGAAACTAATCAATAAATATATATTCCGAGCGAGGTCTGAGCCTCAGTAAGCTAGATTGAGGTTGCTTAGAGCTCAATGACGTCCTACAATATAGCCAACTTCAAGGCTTCCATGTTGATTTCCCCCAACTTGGTACATGATTAGACAAATCATGCCAGATATACTCGATAGCCCATGACAAAAGATCCATTGGCTCGCTCCCCAACGCATATATTGTTCAAGTATCTACACAGTTCAATAAAGTAGTCTCTTTCACTCTGGGTTCTTGATCCACTCTCGCAGCTTTCTCAACCCGTAAATATCATGCTCCTTCTCAGATGTGAAAAAAGGCTTCTCATACCAGCCAACAGTACCCAACGAATCCAAATTATACCCAAAAGGCTGACAGGATCCAAAGTCGATTAAAACAGGCAGCATATCATCCTTGACCATGATGTTGCTGGGGTTGATATCATTGTGAGCAAGCCCCAGGGAATGCAAATGATACACAGCCGAATCAATACTGTCCACAAACTTGTCCTTGTCTAAATTCTTAAATCCAGGTGTCTCGACGTAGTCCTTCAGTGTGATTTCATGTCGTTCAAGCCAGATGGCCGTGATCCGATTTCGCCGCACCCGGCAGCCAAAGTATCGGATGAAGACAGGATGGGGAGACCGCGAGATTTGCTCCATGATTGACGTCTCTCGCAGTATTGATCGCGGGATCATGTCGTTGTTACTGCCCCCCGGATGAAAAGAGATAATCTCGGGTCGTTTAAGGAAAGCTGACTCCTCTGTCAAGCCTTCGGATGCAAGGGTAAGCTGAGTGCCTGGAGGGATCTCGGGCCAGACATCTTCGTCTGGGATTCGTTCAAGTGCCTGGTTGAATTCTGCTATAGTCGTATCGAACTTGCTCTTGGCCGTTTCTCCAAAGTAGAGCTCTTCATCTGTAGTGATGTGGAAGAAGGTGGTGGCCTTGGGCTCAGTGGCGCCGCGATCGTAGTGCTCTATGATTGTCAAATCTTGGAGAGACTTGACGAGCTGCGGCTTTTCGTCCGTCGAGGCGGAGGCGGTAGCAGTCCTGGGTTGGGCCTATTGATCAAGTCGCTGTTAACAACCTACACAGAGGTCGTCGTTGTTGCAGTTGAACGCTCACCTGGTCAACCATAGTGGAAAATGTTGATAATAGTAGATGCGACCTACGTGAAAGCGCCAACGGTTGTTGGTGGTAGGATGAAGTCGGATGAAATGAACGCTACCAATAATGAGAAAATGAAATGAGCGTTGTGGGAATGAGTTCGACCTGTTGGTTGCAAGTGGCTGCTGATGAGGGGTTGGCGCGCGCGTAGATGTGCCTCAGGGGAAGTTGGCATTCGCCCACGGAGTGGAGCTTCGGTTCAGGTGAGGTTCAAGCGGATATAATCAAGATTTCTGTGGCTGACTTGTTGACGAGCTGCAGAAAACCGCCTCCAGTTCTTTCAGCAAACAATTAGATAGCCTTGTGATTACAGTATATTGTCATAAATTCATAATCCCAATTTCAACTGAGCTCACAAGAGGGCATTGCGATTTCTGAGCAGTGAGACCCCTTTCACAACAGGCTTAGCTGTTCGTTGTATATGAATGACGTCTCGCATGTTGAGGAATCAATAGCTAGGTAGATAGTTAGTAAGGAGTGAACAAGAGTGCTGAAGTTTTAATTCCTTTCTACCATAGATACAGACATCGTATCAAATTCTCTGTTGAACTAGCTGTGTATCAAAATCTCTTAGTGCTATCCTAACAGAACCAAAAGGAGTTGGGCTTGTGCTAAGATTCCGTATGCTCCACTTGGCCACTGCGCTTCTCTTCATGGCTGGTAGACCCAGACTTTGGTGTTACTCCGCCAAGGTCAAGTCGGCCTTCCACATCGAGCTTTCCATGGGTAGCGAGCTCTTTCTGCATCTCTCGCGCCACTTTGACTGCGTTGCCTTCTCGCGAAAAGATGTAGTCCACCTCTTCCAATTCCAAGTTCGACGTCTCGGGGTAGAGGAAGTAGATGATAGGAATGAAGATGAAATTGGTGATAGTGAAGATCAGGTAGGCTTTCCATTGAAGACGGTTGATGATAATTGGTGTGATCATGACCTAGACACACCTAATGTCAGCATGCAGGGCGACAGAAGAAAGGGGGACGCCAACTTACCACCGTGAAGTTCCATAGCCAGTTGGAGCTCACACCGATGGCTGTACCCCTTGTCCTCGCATGTAGAGGTAAAATCTCAGGTACATACACCCACGGCACGCAGTTCATACTGGCACCGAAGGTGAGCATATATGTGAAGAAGAATGCAACCGCGGCAGAAGCGAATGATTTTCCGCGCGGAGTTCCGTCCGCCTGGGACAGGAGTGCCGATACCATGAGCATCGATACGCAGAGACCTGCAGATCCCCAAATCATGGTTGTGCGGCGGCCCATGCGATCCAGTGCCAAGGACGGGAGGAGAGAGCCCAGGGGAAACATGATTTGGATGCACCCGGCGATGATTTGAGCGAGCTTATGCTCCAACCCGACATTCTTTTGCAAAACGGCTGAAAATTTCGATTAGACAAGCGATCTATGAGGGGGATGATGTGACTTACTCATAATGTAGTAGACAACCATGTTGATACCTCCAACTTGGTTCATAAATTGGACAAACCATGCCAAAAATACTCGATAGCCCGTGCTAACCTCATCGTTTCTAAACGTTGAGGCCCAATTAGTGCTCCCTTCTACCTCAGTCTCGTTCTTAAGAGCGACTTCAATGGCATTCACTTCACGGACAATGTCGGGGTGATCGACCGGCTTATCGTAAATGGCAGAGAGAACCAAGATAGCCTCGTCTCTGTCACCATGGTTGAGAAGCCATCGCGGTGATTCGGGAATTCCAAACACGACAAAGATGACAAAAATAGCAAATACGGCCTGGAAGGCAAGGGGCCACCGCCATGCAAACGGGCCACCAACGTAGCTGAACGCGAAGTCCCACCAGTATGCAAACGCAATTCCAATGCCAACGAACATCACCTCTGCAGAGACCAGACGGCCCCGTTTCTTGCCTTCGCACAACTCGGACTGATACATGGGGACCGTAGATGTCTTAAGTCCAGTACCGACACCGGTGATGATCCGCCCGGCAATCAGATGGCCACGGTTGAACGCCGTGGCCTGCAATGCGGCACCGATGAGGATCCATACCATGGCAAGCCAGATCGTTCGGCGACGGCCGAGCTTTTCTCCCACGACAAAGTTAGCAAAACAACCAACCAAGCAGCCGAGATTGTAGCTTGAGGTGATGAATCCCGTCAGGGTGTCGCCAGGACGGCCGAATTGTTCAAGCCAATCCTCATTTTCAAGGATTCCACCAAAAACACCCTGGTCGTATCCTGATGAGTTAATTGTCAGCATACGAACGCGATTCTCCTCGTTAACAAACATCCGCGGGATCAACTCACCATACAGGATGAAGGCACACAGACAACAAGATGTGACTGCGAGCTGCAGCTTTTTGCCGCGACCAAACCAAGTTCTCATGACTGCGGCTGGTATACTTCAATGTCCCATTTGACTTACTTCGAACCGTGAATCTCATGGTTGCAGCTTTGCAGGCATTTATATACTTATCCAGAGCGGGGCTTCGTGTTCATTGAGTCAGGTCTTGAACACAACTGTCCCTGTACGAATCAAAACACGTGGAGCGAGACAACGTCATTTCCCCATCGCCAAGGGCCCCGGATTCGACCAAGCTCGACTGGGGGAGAAGCTAACTATAAACATGCCATTGTTGATGTGGGGAACTGTTCCGTCTGACAGTCTCACGATGCTTACGATTTCCTCAGTTGGTAAGCCGGGCAGAAGCCGGACCCAAGTCGCGGATCATCCATGACATCAACTACTCATTCAGGAAAGTGTAGCCACTAACAGCTTGTTTAGTGGTACTGATTCACCAGCCATCGCTTGTTGGAAAGCGCGGCTTTAAGCTGGGAATTGGGTGATATAAATGCGCGCAAAGCTGCCGATGTCCCTGATCCCTGTCGCTACGAATCCGAAAATTGTTCACTGATCCTACCTACGAGGTAAAATCGAGAAGTCAAGTGATGAATAAGACGTTTCTTTATGTTGACGAGAGACGAATATCATCCGAGATAGACTGCTAAATAGACCATGAACCTAAGGGCTATGATACTGCAAACTTGAAGCATATCATATGGCATAACAGAATAGTGTTACCGCTCTTCCTTATTGCATTACCCACCAACCGCTTCCTTATGGATTTGCTCTGACTCGGGTTTGCATCAAACCCTGCTACTTGGGACTGATGGATGCGCCACAGCAGGCTGATCCCTGTCGCCCGAGAAAACACAACCCGAGAAAATAACCAGGTGCGGCGTCGGTCTCACAATGGGATTTACCATATCGCGACCATCGGACTTGGGCCAAGAATAAGTCAGCCGTATGAACTCGGTCTTTACGGACAAAGCAAAGTGGCCTAACTAGTGGATCCGGCTGAAGATGAGTTACGCCGTCTCAATATGAGAGAAAGATGATCAAGCCATAGGCTAAGATGTTTGAACACCCTATGATTCAACACAATGTCGAATGTAGATTCATTTATCTCTCCGGTTTCTAATGGAAAAGAAGATATTATTCAGGATGATATCAGAAACTTTGTCAACACCAACCTCTCGTTTGTACTCCGAACCATAAACAACAGCGATATTGGGAAAGCCAGTTCCCCGAGAGAGGGATATCGCTGATGTGGTTATGATTCGATGCCACCTGTGTCAACTCGAAGGAGCACGATACGGTCATGGATCTGGTGTAGCTGATAAAGAATATATATCCCTCGATAGATATTGTCATGGCTTGAACTGGGAAGGCCAAGATGCTCGAAACCAAACCGTTTTCCAACCATGTAAACCGTTGGCCATCAACTTTCGTAATACACATGATAAAGACGTGCTTCCCGATTTGGCCTGGTTCGAAAATCCTCGGTGTACATTCAGTCTAGCTCTCGCTTGTCATGTTTGGATTCGATAATAATAATGGCACAGTCCCATTTCAGAATGTAGACCAGCTGTTAAGCAGGTACATACTTGAAGTGAGAGCCAAGGATCAACATTCTTGTGCCAAACGAGCTTCTCTCAGATATTCGAGATCAAGTACAGGAAGCCCGTTCTTGAACCAATCATGTCCCGACACCCAATATCTCTTCTAGAAGGTATGTTTGGGGATTGTGATCTTGGTAGCCGTCCAGGTTTTGCCACCATCCGAAGTTGAAAGGTCGCCGCCAGTGACACCAGAGCTTCTGCCAAGGGTCTTGGCATAATTAGGGTCTGCAGTGTTGAGGATAATGGTGGTGCCACTCCAGCCTGGGTAAAACAAAAATCGTCAGCAAGAGATGGAAAAGTCCGAAGTAACAAAACCTAAATGAACTCACTATGGGCAGGAACGGTACCGCAGTTGGTCTCGGCGCACTCGACGGCGCTACCGAACCCCTCTGCGTGGCCGTCCTCGGTTGACATGGTATATACGGTAACACCGTTCACTGAAAGAATCTGCTTATAGGTTGCAGTCGAATCATCGTATTTGTCTTGAGATTATCAGCAATCTTGGTCAGCCAAAGAAGATGACTGATCAGGTGTTATTTACAGTGGAAGCCGATTTTGTCTCCAGCTTTAGCTGGGAATGAAGGGCCCTGAATAGGAGTTTGTGAGTTGTCTGGGGGTAGATCGTCAGTACGTTCTGTTCATATAGGAACATCTCTTCTTCGATATCCTGGTAGAGAAACTGACCTCCGGTTTTCTTTAGAGTGTAAGTGAAGACCTCCCAGCTGCTTGACGACGACCAATTGTCGGCGATGGACTGGATGAGGTCACCGTACGAGGTCCCCATGCCAACCCACAGAGAGAGATCACCGGTAGAGCCAGTGGGCGATGCAGGGAGAATCAGAGTGGAATAAGCCTCCCGGATCCAGGAGCCAGAGCCAACAGGCCCTGTGCTCCAAGCAGGACCCATTGCTGCATTCACGGAAGTGAAGGCCGTAGTGGCAAGAGCAGCGAAAACACGTTTAACCGAAGGCATGCTGGCGGATTTTCGAGTTGCTGTGGTAATGAATTATTTTTGTTGAATAATTGTTGGCTGGTTCATGTGATTTGCGTCTGCTTGATAGGGGCCGAACTCCGTCTTTATATGCGATCTCAAACAACATTAAGCCTAGCCATTGCAGCTTCACATGATACCACTTCCTCTATCAGTTTGTCCAGGGCTATCCGGTGGGTATATTTCCTTTTCGCGACCTCAATATACCCACGCTAGATCCAAGAACCGACAACCATCCAAGTAATGATGCATTGAGCACCGTACAGCGGAGAGTGATCCGAACCAATCTAACGACCCGGCTGTCCCGCCGATAGCTTTGTTCCTTGTGGTTCCGTTTTCCCTCGCTCGATTCGCGGATAAGACGGCTTGCATCATTCCCAAATTCATTCTATTGGGGCAGGTGGCTTTCCTTATCGGAACAAGCTTGCGGAGCGGCATCCTCCGCGGCCCAAGATCGATAGAAGCTACGAGGTACGCATATATATAAAAGCTCACAGCCCAGCTATCTGGTTTTAGAGCCAATATTTCGATGAATATCCACGAATAGACGGCCAGACGTGGTGGAGGCCTCGACCGGCACGGGCCGGGGTGGGAGTCCGAAATCTTTGAAGTGGCCTCTATCACAAAGGTATGGCGCTGAAAGGGAGGTTTGTTCTCAAAGTGAAGAATTTGTACGAGACTCACAAGCTAAGCAATGGCAAAGCTTTCTAGCAGGATTGCCACTCGGCAACGCCATATGATTTGACCACACGAAATGTACAAATCCGGAGTTCTAAAGCTCTCCCCAAAGTCGTGGAGCCGGCCTTCTCTAGCGATAGCGAAAAACCCTAGATATGAATATAAGATGCAGAGAATGGTCTTTTCTAGGTGGGCAGGGAACGGGCAAGGCTGTTATCGGACGTCACTTAAGCAGAAGTAGTCCTCACAACCTTACTCCTTAATTCTGACAACTGAATTTTTCTTTCCCGACTTGAATTTACATTTTCGCTTCTCCACTGAATATTTATTTTATACATATACTAAATCGGATAATTTAAAGAGAGGAAATCCTTTCCAAGGATACCTAGTCGTGTCGGTGCGATTTGCTTCTTGAAGTTATCTTGAAATTTTTGACCAAAACCAACCTGCTTGTCATATTTTTGATTTCCCTTTTCTCTCTTTGGTTCATAATAAGTCCAAGCACCTTCATTAAGACAACGGCTGAGTACCTATGCCAAAGGTCAGAGGCTCCAGACCGTCGGATTTTATCAAATAGAGTGTAGAATCAAACTACTGAATATTTACCGTTATACGATATCCCCATGGAACGGTGAATCAAAGACCAGTGCTTTTTAGACGAAATAACTAGGGATCGACACTATTTCGAGCCGTCTTTCAGAATTTGTACACCCGTTTAGCAACACTACACTACCTCCGATAGGTTGTTTCATCCTGAACCCATTGACCCATCTATGATACTATTCGTGGTCGCTCCCCTGAGCCATTGGCGAATCCAGCCAACATCAATTCTTCACAGCGTAGACTTTGAACGACCCTTTCTTCCATGTCAGGTCTCCAGATGATATGTCGTGAGGGGGGTTTACCTACCAGCCCATTTATTTAGGTCACTCTCTGTAAGGCTGACATAGTCACTTTCTGATGAACAACAGTTCGTCGCGCAGCAAGGAGGAGATGGTTTAGGTGCACAGCAAATATCACTTGAAGGCTGGCAGCCCTTTTCTTGTTCTCCCGTGCCTAAATTCGCCTGGATGCAACCATCTACCTTCTTTAGGCCATCCTCGTTAGTTTGAAGATAGACATTTAGATCGCTCTTCGTATCAGTGATGAAGATTTCTAGTTGCCCAACTCTCAGTTCGTGGTGTGGACTCGCAAGTGTATAGTCTTTGGGCGCTTACCTATAAAACCCGCATCTTTGAGGAATTTCTCATATTCGCTGACCACACTCGCCCCTGAAATGCATCCGACGTACATGGCCATGTCAGACCTGAGCTTCTCTGGCATTGCCTTCCTCGCGAGGATATCAGAGATTGCAAGACGACCGCCAGATTTCAGGAGGCGGAACATCTCTCCGAAAACCAGATGCTTTTCTGCGGCAGGAACAAGATTAATGACGCAGTTGGAGATTATACAGTCAGCGATGCCAGATTGGAGGACCGACATGTTCGTGATGCCCGACTCAACAAACTCGACGTTGGTCTTTCCTGTTTCTTCTTTGATTTTGTTGGCTCTAGCGAGCATATCCTACCAGTCAAATCAAAGTTTAGGATCCAATAACAAGCTTTCAAAGGCCCGACGTATCCGTACCTTGTTCATATCAACACCAATGACCTTCCCAGACTGTCCAACTCTATTGGAGGCGAGAAAAGAGTCAAAACCAGCCCCGCTTCCCAGATCGATTACCGTCTCGCCCTGATATTGAAGGATTAGGACATGGGATAATAGTGCCAGGAATTTTGAAAGCCGTAGCGAACCTGACTAATACTAGCGATTGCGAGAGGGTTGCCGCAGCTGAGACCGAGGTTGGATCCCTCAGGGGCCTTTGCCAGTTCGTCCTCGGAGTACCCGAAGGACTTTGCGACCGCGCTTCCATATTCGGTAGTCGTTCCTTTGGAGGCAGCGCTATAGTGCGTGCTGACTTGGTGGTAAATTGTCTGAGAGTCCATAGTAACTGAATATACTGCAGGGAAGTTTTGTTATCTGGGCAAATTGTATGTGAGACAAAATCTTTGGTGAAACTGAAATATCTACACATTCGGCGACTGAGGAGGTGATTTTTATAGACCATGTCAATTTTCAACTATCAGCTCTCCCTGCTCCAAACATGGCGCAGCTGAAGATTGGGTGTCATCAAATAGTTTCCCTTTACGGTGACTACAAATTCACAGCACATCTAATCCCGAACTGGTAATTTTCCAGTTTGTCATCACTCATCTTGTCCCAGACGCCACCAATCATCGAGCGGCTTGTGATTTCATCGATGCACGTGGCGTCACCTTGACGTTTCCTCTTCCGTCAACTTCTTGAATTCCCATGCAAAGTTATTTGCTTCCACCATCCGATATCCCACTGCCGTACGATTTATGGTTGCATGAACGGTTTATGCTCTACATACACCAGCCGCTCAGGTTCGAGATGATGAGCAAATGGTCAGCGAGGCCGGCTGATCACGAGGCGGTAAGGCTACGCAACAACCAGCGCCGGCACCGCAAGAAGGTCAAGGATCGAATTGCGGAGCTCGAGTTCCGCCTAGCAGAGACGCAGCTACAGCTCAATGAGGCTCTAGCCCGGGTCGAGGGGCTTTCTCAAGAACTAGAGCAGGCGAAGGCAGAGAGAAATAGAGCAGAGGAGCCATTGACACGCGATCATACTCAAGTCCTGGAGTCAGGCAAGATCTTAAGTAGCGAACCTGGTCGCCTTATAGTCCAGCAAGGCAAAGACGCAACGAATCAACAAACCTCCCTTGTCCAAAATCAACCCATCTCCACGGGGGTCTCCGCTGGGAATCCGTCTCCCATCTTATCAGCTCCATGGACGAGCGATACCACCGTGCCAACACTTGCGCTCAGCTACGAGACATTCATAGACTCTGACGACCAGGACTGCTCCAACTTGCCGCTTCCGGAGCCGGGAAAGTCGACCACTCGCTGCCGGGATGCCTATTTAACCATCACTCAACAAAACTACAAGGGCTTAGATAGCTCTTTTATTATTGAATGGCTAGAACCTGGGTTTCGGGGAGCAATTTCTAAAGGCGATGGGTGTCGTGTAGATACAGACTTATTATTCACGTTGCTGGACTTTATTAGCTCCTCATAGACCCTTAGCCATAATTAAATTCTTTGTCATTCATGGAATCTCCTTGGTTCTTGGCGTTCTGCCAAATTTCCCTCGGGAGTCTATTCAACTACGGACTAAGAAATGGACGCTCCCCATATGATCATTGGTATCGTTTTAGGCAGGACAGATACTTCATCCTTCAAGTAAGGATGGCATGTACGAATGTAGTCAAAGAAACCATCAATACTAGGGAAGTCGCCAACCGGTGACCATTGGCGAATGCAAAGGCAAAGCTGTTTCAGAGAGAGTTGTCAATTGAGGTTGTCGGCTATATACATCATATCCCTGCTTGATGGTTCAGCTCCATATTGTATATAGATTTTTCAAGACTCACCAGGAATCTGACATCTCATTCTTTTCCCATTGGCACATAAGTTATCATTAATTGACTCAATGCCTGACGTGTCTCAACTTCCGTTATCCCATGTGATCTTCGGACAAGGCAGAGGCAACTATCAAACGCTCATGTGTAGTCCGATACAAGCACATCGATTCTAGACATGATCCCACTCAGCAGGCCCTCAGCCATTTCACGCGTTACAATTCCGTCAATATAGCACATATTTATGACCGTGTCACCGCCCTTCACGCCAGCAATGCTGAATTTAACGCCCTTCGAGGCCAAGTTCCCATTTGTACTGGCTACTGAGAAATGCATGTCCTCAATTGTCCATTGCGGCTTCTCTGCACCTATCTCGTGGTCGCTTCTGATCCTATCGTTCGAATATGCACCGAGATTGGAAACGCCGAAATCATTCCGCGTCACATTACCGATGGCTGGAAACGTCTTGGCGACAATATCTTCCAGGTCAGAGCTGAGAGTGGTGGTGCTTTTCCAAATCCTCAGCATCGAGCCGTCGTTTATGAGCTTATCAACCGTAGCCTTGTAAGCTCTTGCTAGGTCCCACGCGGGTCGTTTGCTTTCCAATGTCGTCCAGTCCTCGACGACAGTTTTCTTATACGGAGCAAGCCAGTGCTGGATATTGAGTCCTCCCGTCGCCTGCATCATTGTGCCAGCTTTGGTGCCGCCCCCGATCTTTGACATGGGTAGGAATTTGCGTATATCGCACGGTACCCCACTGCATCCCATGATTGCATCAGGATAAAAGTCGTTCGCTAGAGTGTGGAGAGCCATAGAGGCAAAGAAAGATGTGAATGTGATATGGCTGGCGCGGCAGGCGTTAAGGATTCTCGCCATCTGAGGCGCTTCGATCCGACGGGACGACACTCGAGTTACAACGCGTTGCGCAGGTTCCGCAACCGCTGTCGCTGATTTGATCCAGGGCTTATGAGGTGGAAGTGTGCTCCAAAGAAGCCGGCTGCTGATGAATAGCCCCATTAGGAAGAACTTGAGCTGTACCCATATGGCCAAGAGGAGTCCAGGCTTGACATCTGAGATTTCTGTTGGCTCGAGCGGGAAGGCAATTCCACTTGGGTCTTTATCACCAATAGTCTTGTCCTTCTCGCTCAATTCCCCAATTGATTCAGATATGGAATTCAGTGCATTCATCAATTCCGCGTGGAATACCTGGGCAGACTTTCCATCCCCCACAGCATGGTGCATTACGAAAACCACATTGTTGCCCTTGAGGATTACCCGCCACCAGGGGCGGCTTGGCTCTTTCTCTGTGTATAACCACTCATTATGAATCTCCTCCAAGAGTGACGGGCCCACGCCTGTCTCGCCATCATCCGGAACCATCTGGATACACTCCTCGAGATTGATGGTATGCAGCATCGCACTGTGAAGTCGGTGGTGGCCCCTTTTCGGCGAGGGCCGGATGACGAATACCATGCGCAGTCGTGCGTGTGCTTCCACTACTTTCCGCAGTGCAGCTACGACAGCCGTCTTGGTAAGGATACGGTTTTTGTCATCTCCGTAGGCGTACTTTGCTGAGACGACAAGGTTCGATTGTATCCCTAATTGGTGGTAGAGGTACCACATGCCCTCATAGTAGGCTGGCATGGCTGTTAGCTGACGTCAACTCATCTGACAATATTAAGAACTTACCAGCCTCGCGAAGCAACGTGTAATGGGATGATGTGTTTGCCATTGCCGCGTAAGTCACCGGGATATGTAGAGAGAAGGATGACTGGTCGTTTTTCACCCCTGGTTTCTTTCCAGGTGGCCACGAGCTCTTAAATAGGCCGGAGCATCCCAGGGGTTCTGTACGCGGTACATGACGGATTCCCACTCGAATGAATCAACCCGGTTCACAAGCTCGCGCAAATTACATGCGATATGAAGCCAGGCCGGAAGTGTAGCGGGTCAACCTCGAGTTTGTTCGCCTGGCTTTGAGGTCCCGTGTAGACGTCAATCTCATTGGCTGAGAGATGATAATCCAGACTACTAAGGCTCCATTTTATCATAGGGTCGTGCTCCAGACTAGCCATTCCACTCCATGCAAAGTTGAACTAAAATCCTTCGGTAGTAAGTACCGGGCAAGCCGGGATTGCTGGTTCAAGGGGTCCCAATCTCTACTCCGGCTTAAAATGCCTAAAATGGGCCTCCGGGTCCCGATTCGATATGCTAATCATATATTCCCTTCGTCTCTAGTACAAGGAGTTATGCCGATCTAGTGAGAGTTTGAGTATATAGTAAGAAACAACAATAAAAAAATACCAGACTCGAAAAAAACCAACACAATGAGTACGATGGAGTTGTACCATGTCATTGAGATTTCATACACGTTATCACAATCTGAGCAGCATTCATTTACTATTATCAGGTAAATTGGCGGATACGTAGATCCAGCAAGTCGTAACTAGATTATGTACAGTTTTATATCCCTAAATGCAAACATGCCGCTTATTTGACGTACTTCTTCACAACCTCGGCAACCTGCTCGTCAGTAAGGCCCTTGAGGCCGAGCAGCTCGTTGTCCGTCTTCTTGAAGTTGCCTCCATAGGCCGGGTCTAAGATGGCGCGGAAGAGATAAGGCACAAAGGTCTCGGCGTCAAAGAGTCCCTGGGCCAGACGAGCGTCGGCCTTGGCCGTCACGTCGTCAAGCTTGGCAGCTTGGGGCTCCCACTTCTTGGAGGGGTTGGCCTTCTTGGCGAGCTCCAGGAGCTTGTTCTGGGTGATCTTGGTGTCCTCGATGTAGACGGCCCTGTTCTTGGTCTCCTCGGGGTGGTTGAGAACACCGACAACAGCGTCGGCGACGGTGCTGAGGGTGGTGGAGGAGAAGGTGATGTCACCGCCGTCGAAGATGGCGGGCTTGCCGTCGGCATGGCCCAGGAGGAAGTTGTGCTGCAGACCCCAGTCGAGGAAGGCAGAGTTGTACACGAATGTGTAGGTGATAGGAGAAGTCTTGGCCTTCTCAATGAGGTAATCCTGGACCTCGACCTTGTGGGCAAAGACGGGGAGCTTTCTGGTGTTGGGGAAATCTAGGTTTGAGCCAAACTCGGAGGGAAGAAAGCGGCTAACTCCAGCTGCGATAGCGGCATCCACCAGAAGCTTCTGTCCTTGGAGCAGAGGGGTGCCGACGGAAGAAACGAGTGCATCTTGGCCCTGGAGGGCGGCAGTGAGCTCGTCAAGGGAGTCAAAGTTGACATCGATGACCTTAGTGCCCTTAGGGAATGTGGAAGAGGAGCCATGGCGGCGGAGAACAGTGATATCGAACTTTGAAGCGTTGAGACGCTCAAAGATGACAGTTCCGAGGCTGCCGGAGGCACCAGTGATGGCGACGTTCTTGATAGCAGACATGATGTGATTCAAATTGGCGATATATCTCGGTTGGGTATGAAGTAATTGAGGGCGGCGTTGCGTTGGTATGTTTGTGTGGATGTATTGATGAAGTGTGACAAGAGGAGAACGACCACCTTAAATAGACAACAAGATTAAGTCCCCTCTTAACACTATCAGGCTCAATAATCTGGTGGATGGTGATTCATGAACCTTCTTGTCTCAATGCTCTGTCATATAGCTTCTCCTCATCGCACGCAAGACCGCTAGTTTCTGTCATCAAGGCTAGGGTACACGCATTTGTGTGGGATCAAGGTGCAAAGCCAGGTACCGATATTTCTGGCGGCTGCGCCAATTCATCCCACAAACCGCCGGTATCCCACACCAGCCGGCATCCCACACCAACCCCGCCCTCTTCCAGCGAATCCGAGATGGAATCGGATGCTTGAAGTTAGTGGGATGGCCGTAAAGCGTGATATAGGGAGAAGACACGGCCGCAATTATCCCACCGGCATGGCATTATAAATAATCAACCGAAGGTCGAAATGCTCCCACCTTGTTAGGCCTTCGGAGTGTTAATGCTTCGGGACGTTATTAATTATTACATGCCGCTGAGTAAGTTACTCAAAGTAATTGGAATTTTGAACATGCCAGCGTCGTGATTATGTGGGCCTTAAAGTTCAAACCCTCCAAAAAGCTATTGGCATTACCCGTTTGGGACCCGAGATGTTTTCACTTTTATCTTTAGACGTATTTATCTCCCCATTCATGGAGTCGTAACTTCATTCCTTGAGGTTAAGCTAACGTTATGCATCGACAGTCAGCCAAGTTGAACCTTAAATATAAATATCAGAGATGGCTAGCAAACATCTTGGCCGCGAAACGTGTACTAAACAGACTGTTCAGCGTTATGGCAGGTGTCTATACTTCGTAGTTGTCGTTGTCGCATTGGCTACAAATCCGCTGTTTTACATAACGTCAACTCATTCGCAGCCAGTGGTCTATCCAAATGCGCACACTCAAGAGCGCTCGTTAAGATGCATGAGATTCTCTAGGCCGCATCTTTAAGCCCTTCAAGAAATGAAGCCCAGCTTCTTAAGATATCCATTTATTCAGAAGCCATCTAGTAACCAAATTGTGCTAGTCGGCCTGGAGAACTGAACGCGCTATTAATGGAGAACAAGGAGGTCTTTAGAGGCATTTCTGCATGACAGTATCTAACGAGCTTATACCCCCGGAGGAAGTCTTAGAAAGTCACCAACTATGGACAAGTTGAGCACTCTACGGTGCCTCTATCCAAGAGCAGTCACATTCGAAGTGAGTGACTTGTGCGCACAAAGAATGGCATCCCATAGCACAAGTCTTCGAAACCGACTTGGCGTATCCAATCATCCAACATATAGCCGCCACCAAAAATGCCTCAAGCATAGATTCTTCAGCGATGGAGTAAGATCATTTTCCCTTTTCTGGTTTTCTAGAGCTGATAAGATTATCCCAACGCCCAGATTGACTCTGCTGGGTGATCAACTCTATCCAAACAGAATTTGGAATCCAGCAAAGACAATAAACAATATTTCTCACCCCTTTCCAAGTTCCTTTTTCATCTTAGTTAGAAAAACATCTAGCCTATCCTCCACTCCTTCGAGAAACTTAGCCCTTATTCAAATCACATCCCGTCTCCACTTTGTCCGATAACCGCCTCGGCTAAAGGGGGCCAAGTGGCTGAAATAAAACATGGCACACCAATTAATTGCTATAAATGGTTGTATAATCATTATGATACAGTTATAGTCAATCAGATAACTCGCTTGGAGCAGACAAATCGAGTTGCTTTTGCGCGGTTGTTATCTACCTACCCTACATCTCCAACAACTCTCTCTTCAAAAATACCAGAGTCCACCAAAGTCCACAATGAAGTTATTGCTACAAGGATTCCCGGCTAAGGGATTGAATTCATGTTACAGAGGTGAGTTGAAATAATTTGTGACAGTTCGTTTGGTTATTCAATGTGTGGCTGGTTTTTTTTTCTTTCTGAACAGCATATCAAGAGGAGCACGAATCCATCCCGGAGAATTTCTACATTGGAGAATTCATGCTCGAATACGTCACATTCAGCCACATTAGGACCCGGCACTAAGCTCAACGGACAGCCGAAATGTTGCCATCCAAATCCCGACCGGCTGCCATGCAACTACGTAGCTTCGAGAAGAGGTGAAACAGCGAATTATGACGAGTACTGGGCCCACGCAAGCACAATACGTAGGCGAGCTCTCCACATCGCGGAGCTGCTTACAAACGGCAGCAAGCCGGCTGTCACGACATGGGCGAGCCGCTGTGGAGACGTGCGTTTCTTGAGGGTTCCTGGTGGAGCATATCCACAGCTCGAAGTTGTGTAGGTGTTATATATGCACCCTGGATCTCCTCTGTCGGCCCGTTGTAGTAATGGATTAGATGCTCATGGGTTCTAAGCTTGCATGCTTGCGTGGAAGACCCATGGAAGTTGAGAACGACAAGTTTCTGCTAGTAGTATGCATGCGATGTGTTGCGTTATCCACCGATTCTACGACAGTTTCCATCCACCTTTGAAACACGCCACTGTTCCGCTGGGGAATATTGTGATCTGATTTAAGGGAACCTTGGGTGGAGATTTATGGGGAACTTTGGCGGCAACGAGGTATAGGAGATCGAAACGAGCCAGACGAGATTCACGAACATATGTAGAGGGGTGGCATGAACGATGCGGATTTCGAGTAGTATCGATGCGCTCTGAGTATTGAGGAAGAGAAAACGACCGAAGGCCGAGACCAACGAGACGAAGCGAGAGAGGTTGAACGATCAAGATCTTGGACGAGATTCTTCCCCTGAATTCCTTCCGACAGCGTGGTTTTCTGGCCACGGAGCTCGGATACCGAAGACTTTAGGTGTACGTCAGCGATATAGAACTAAACCTACCAAGGTATGTTCTGACGTGGGATCCGTCTTTGGATGGGAGACAAGGAGAATGGATGTTCTCAGGGTAGGATTTGTTGTAGCCCTTTACCAGGCAGCTGCCGATGCTAGGATGCTAGTCGGCAAGTACCTGGCCACTCAGCATCGCCTTGTACAAATTTGTAGAAACTCGACCTGTGACTTTGAATTACAAGATTTCTCACTATCTGTATGATGGTCCTGGTCAGCAAAAGATCGGAATGTTAAGAAAGGGGAAAGAGAGTTGATGAAGCTTAGTGCAAGGTGCACGAAGTTGTAAATGGCGATACTGTATTCCCGGCAATTGGTAAAAGGTTTTCGAGTTTGAACCAGGAATTGATCCATGGTATCTGTCGGCTCGGGCGAGGATATAGAGGAGGTGAAAATATTTCGTTGGGCTCAACCATAAAAGATGATTTGCGAGCTTTGCGAGGGTTATGTGGAATAGATGACTATACAGATATTGAAGCGGTTGTTAGAAATCAATCATGATTTTGCGCCTAAGAAAACAAGAGAAAGCGTAAGAGGACGGGGGAGAGCGAAAACCCTGTGAATACCACGATCTGTCCACTTGTTCGACGAGGAGCTGGGGAGTATCACCACCGTCACCGGAGATCCTCCTCCTCAAGAAACGAATAAAAATCTGCTCAGCTGTACTATGAGGTAGAGACTATCGATGGATCAACATCTAGGCTTTCGACATTGGCTCCCTCACTGAGCAGGTGACCCGGATCGAGGAGAATTGGGCAACGGCTTGTTCTTGCCGAGATTGGCGCACACAATTATCGGCTCCCCCCAACAGGGACGGGCTAGACTCAGCTGAAAAAATGGTGGCTTCTTTTTGCTTGGGTGGCTGATCACAACGAGAAGGGGTGATGACGCGGTGAGATTTTCACAACCGAGGAGAGACTGATGGAAATCTTCCCTTGGGTTTCTAGGGGCATTGGGCATATCGCGGTGGCGAAACTCTGGGCACCGGGGCAAGCACCAAACTTGAAGTCCGACTCAATTTCTTGCAATTTCACTTACACAAGAACAAGGCTCTTCGTCTAGGGTGAAACGGGAACAGCCAACGGAAGAGGTTAATCAGCGCTCGTTGGGACACAGCCCGGGCGGCTGTGACTGGGCATCAACACGTATAATGCAGGAATCACCGGGATGAAACCCGAAATGGGTTCAGCGGCCCATGATCTGCCCAGGATCGGGAGGGTCCCAAGATTGAGAAAAAACAAGCGTAAATCGAGAGCAACACAACCGTCTTACTGCGGCAATGTTCCAGTGCACCATTCCGGAGGCCAGACCAGGGTGAGGATTGCGTGCTCACGGGCCGTGGTGGAAAAGGGAAGACGCCTTTATGAAGGCTGAGCAGTTCTGGCCTCTGACAAGATTGTCAACCGCGGGCTGGACTGTGCTCAGGCCGTGAGATTTGTTCTCCACAGAGGGCGTGTGGTTTCTCGTAACGAAATGAGCGAGGCTTGTCCTCGGAGATGTCTTCATCATTGGATGAAGACGAGTTTTTACCATCACGCCATAGGGCGTCAAATCTCCTTGGTACTGACGTAGCATCTTAGATCGAGGGTGCACATGGCATGGAAGGGAAGTTTGATAGAGCTAGTCGTGTGGTGGTTACCGAATGGGGTCAGCGATGCCGTTCCCTCTGGGCGGTAGACATCGGGACCAGGCCTAGATCGTGATATGATGGGCGCTGGCAAATCGATAATTTGCATTCCGCCGGGTTAGAGTACACCAGAGATTGGGAAAAAACAAACCCCAGCTCAACCCGTCCCCTTGGAGGCGGCGAGGTTGCTGAGATCCCAATCCAGCCAAGACTATGGAATGCTCCCGGGGGCTTTTCAACGCCTTACTCAACTGGGCCTATCACGCAATGCGCGATGAGCCGATTATCCGAGATGTGGCTTGATATGTCCAATAAGCAGCAAGGCAAGGCAACCTTCAGGCAGGTGGCCAAGGGAGATGATGGTGATCCCTGAATACCGCTATCAAACATGATTGAAGGGGCTATAAGGTCAAGATGGCATCACCGACTGCATCGAGAACGCAATCGCTTCTAATCGCGCGAAGGAACAAGATTAGCGATGACTAGACGAGAGAAGAGACGACGCGGAGGGATTGAGATCTGCACTCGCGCAAGATAGTTGTGATCTGATATGTCAATTGTTCGCACGAGGCCTCTCGTGATCTATGGCGTTGGTGGCTTTTAACACTAGGCTAGCGATCTATCTGTTGATGTGATCGATAGACGAGGTACCTAGGAGTGTCTGGACTCTCCTCATGGCTAGTTCCGGGGGGTAGGGGGGTTTAGCGAGAAGATCATATAAATAAAATAAAGTAGAGCAAGCATGAAGGCGGCAGTGGAGCTCGCCGCGTGCTGGGCAATGTTGGTCCGTTGGATGCCGCCCGTCCATGTGTCTCTCTCGATGGATAAGCAGGGAGCTTCATGGAGTCTGGAGCTGCAGTAGGGGAAGGGAAGGTGGGATGGGAGGAGCTGGGACACTGCATATTGAGTGGAGCCGCGGCCAGCATCTGGAGTGAGCCTAACTTTAACGCTATTAGATTGCTTTCTTCTTTTTTTCCCTTTTGTTCTCTTGTCGCGTCTGCCGTGTGAGATAATTTTACGTATTCACTCTCTTGATCTGGGGGTACATGGATACTGCAGCCAAGACCAATTGCCGCTGAGTTTGCGGGGGACAGGGATGACTAACTAGCAACGTGACTTGCTTGATTGAGCGACAAGACTCGCTCCGCTGCCATGTGAGGCCATCACGAGGGTCGCGGCTGTGCTGACCACTCACAAGAAGTAACAAGAGAGCCAAGGCCGACACCAGCCGTGGCAGAGGCGGTCTGAGTCTGACTTTGCAAATTCAATCCAGGAATTTGGGATCACAGCTTGGATGAAGGTCGGCGTAGGCGACGGAGAGGACGATGATGGCATAGTGCTGGCAATGATGGTGGAGGGGTGCATCCAGGGCCCAGGTTCTGGAGGGTCCAGCCATCCGCTAGCGGCTAGGGGCCTCAGCTAGCCTTTAGCGCACACCTTGGGGCGCTGGGCCAAGGATCGAGGGCCGCACCGCATTTCTCTGTCTCGCCACTGGCCTCGGCCGTCATAGTCTGCGATTGCTGCACGGCAAAATCGATTAAGGTTTTTTCGCCCTCGCCATCTCGGCACCGTATTCCGTCCTGGGAGCAGCAATCGTTCGGGCTCCCACGCTGCAGCTGATTGATAGTTCCTAGATGCGAATTTGGTGCTGATCTGGGCCTGTCCCCTGTACGTACCGCCTGTTAATCGCTAACTGCAGCTCCAGCGTCATGGCCCGCTTCCCACCACACCATTCCCAGATCTCGCCGTCCCCAGATTGAGGCTCTGCCGTGACAGCTTCCAGCCGTGCTCTAGAAAGACGTGTGCCTTGCGCCTCCCGTCTCGCACGACACTTCCAAGGCGCGTCTTGGGCTTGCCAAAAGTCTGGGCGCGCGGGAATCGCAACGTCCCTGCACCGTGGCCCTCCAGTTCCGCCCCCCCTCCCCTAGAGTGCAGATTCTGCATCAGCGTCGTTTCTGTGGGCTTTGATTGGGTCCGCGTCGATTGCGCAATCGCCCCTCTGAAGCTCATCATTCTGCTGCTGCGTCTCGACTGCACGCCACAGCCAGCCGCTGCTCCACTGCGCACACCCACTGAAAAGTCTGGCGGTGGTGACAGAAGAACTGAGACAGCAGAGCAGATTGAAGGTTATGAGAAGGCCAACATCTACGATAGTTAAAGCAATACAGCAGCATAAAATAATTCAAGTAAAAACACTCATTGCCTCTTATTACATTTATTTCAGCTTTTCATAATCAGACAATAGTAACCGCAGAGTCTAAATTACCAGCTCAATGTTTTGCGTGTCTCAATTTCAAAGTCACCCCTCGGCTGGCCAGATTTGTCCATTTTCCCGGGCAGAACCAACTGTCTGTACGTAACCTCGCCGGGGTGGGGGACCATCCGCGCCCTCTCCCTCTTTCTCCCTCTTGTGTTTCGGGGGCTGGATCGTCACTGACGAATACATCCACGCCATGCCAGCCCAGACACCGGCTCCCTCCGCCCACGCCGGGCTACCACACTGGCTCCAACTGAGTCTGGCGGCGCCGAAACTTGCACTAGGCTCATGCAGGGCCACGGATAATCGGATCGTGCCTGGGTCCTAGCCGTGCCACAGGTTTGACTCTGAGTCTTGGCCTTCTTCACAGTTGACAGATCCATGCCAAACGCGATACTGGTGGTGAAATTGCGACGTTCGCCATCGTTTCTCACAGTATATGAGGCCCGGCATTCCCTGATACTTCTCTCCTTGCTATATCTCTCCTTGCTATAAGACTCTCCAGTGCTTGGAATATAATCAAGCACAAAAAAGAACCAGACAAAAGCCGCTTCCAACCGTCCAGCTCTGCTCTGATCATTCGTGCTTGTTTGACGAGTGACCAGACTTAAACATTACCACATCTGCCTCCGGGGACCCCTGCCCTGGCTTGTCTCCTCGCGTGCAGTACGTACTTGGCGTCGTCAGATCCCGTCTCGCTACTCATCGCCCCCTCCACATCCAGAGCCCAGGCCAAGCGCCTCCTCCGTCCACAGGGACTGTACTTTGATATTGTATACACACCCACGGAAGCAGCACTGAGAACGGGTCGAGCTAGCCCGACTCCCGACTGCCGTGTCCCGACAGGCGGTCCAGGCATCACGCCTTTGCTATCCGCGGCTCGACAGGCCCTGCCTTCAGCATCTTCTTTTAAGCTCAGGGCTCGCTCTGCCGATCTGCTGTCTGAGTTCCCGTCAAGCTGGTCTCCCCGATTGCCATACCGACCGGACCGCAAACCTCCCTCCTCTACGTCTGAATAGGCTCACGGCAACTAGGGTCCAGCCTCTCTCCCTTGCCCTCTGCGCCTCCCGTCCCTGAGCGAGCCGTCCCCATCTTCTGTTGGCCGCCCTCGACCGAGCCGCATATCATGGCTGCCGAAAAGAAGAACACGGGCGCTCGTGTCGCCAAGATCTTTGGCATTGACACGAGCCGTCCCGAGGGATATGTCCCCGACCTCAACGACGCCGACTACCTCTACGTCGAGCAGGAGCCCACTGTCAAGGAATACTTCCAGGAGATCACCCCTTCGCTGGCCCAAGTCGGTCACTACTTTTACCGTCTGTTCCCATTCCTTAGCTGGATTGGCAACTACAACCTCACATGGCTGACCGGCGACTTGATTGCCGGTAAGTGTCCCTCTGGCGCGCCAATTGGCTGCGCAATCGAATTTCAATTGGCATATTTGCTGACCGTACCGTTCAATTATAGGCATCACCGTCGGCGCCGTCGTCGTCCCCCAATCGATGGCCTATGCCAAGCTCGCCGCCCTCCCTGTTGAATATGGTCTCTACTCCTCCTTTATGGGTGTATTGATCTACTGGTTTTTTGCCACGTCCAAGGATATCACCATTGGCGTAAGTAGACGCACTTGTTCCTTCGCGCGCGCAACATTAACAATGCTCTTTACAATGCGCTCTCCCCACCATGTCCCGTCAGCAAAGCATCAAGTATAACAGACGCTAATTATCAAACAAAACAGCCTGTCGCAGTCATGTCCCAGGTCACTGGAAATGTCGTCCTCGCCGTCGCAGAAAGAGCTCCCGATATCCCAGGCCATGTCGTCGCCTCTGCCCTGGCTCTCATCACTGGCTGCATCATCCTGTTCCTCGGTCTTGCCCGCCTGGGATGGATCGTCGAGTTCATCTCCCTGCCCGCCATCTGCGCCTTCATGACTGGCTCCGCCGTCAACATCTTGGCTGGTCAGGTCCCCAAGCTTATGGGTATCCCCAACATCAACACCCGAGGACGCGGTACTCACTTGGTCATCATTGATACCTTGAAGGGCCTGCCCAACACCGGTATCGATGCTGCCCTGGGCCTGACTTCCCTCTTCCTGCTCTATGCCCTCCGCGCCTTCTGCTCGTTCATGGCCAAGAAGCAGCCTCACCGTGCCAAGATGTGGTTCATCATCTCGACTCTTCGCACTGCCTTCACCATCCTCCTGTACACCGGAATTGCTGCTGGTATTGTCATCAAGAAGAAGAACAACAAGTACCTGGATCTTGTCGGCACCGTCCCCAGTGGCTTCCAGCATGCAGGTGCCCCCCAGATCAACACCACTATCATCAACGCCTTCGTCAGCGAGCTTCCTGCAGCCGTCATCGTCATGCTCATCGAGCACATTTCCATCTCCAAGTCTTTCGGTCGCATCAACAACTACGTTATTGACCCGTCGCAGGAGCTCGTCGCCATTGGAGTCACTAACATCCTGGCTCCTTTCTTGGGTGCCTACCCTGCCACTGGATCTTTCTCCCGTACTGCCATCAAGTCCAAGGCTGGTGTCCGCACCCCATTTGCTGGTGTCATCACCGCCATTGTGGTCTTGCTCGCACTCTATGCCCTGACAGCCCTCTTCTTCTACATTCCCAACTCTGCTCTCGCTGCCGTCATCATCCACGCCGTCGGTGATGTCATCACCCCTCCCCAGACTGTCTTCCAGTTTTGGCGTGTTGCCCCTCATGAGGTCGTCATCTTCCTTGCTGGTGTCCTCGTCACTGTGTTCACCAACATCGAGAATGGTGTCTACGTCACCATCTGCACCTCGTTTGTTGTCCTCATTTGGCGCCTGTTCCTCAGCGAGGGACGCTTCCTGGGCCGCACTCGCGTCCGCACTGTTCGCCAGACCAACAGCGCTCAGGCCTCCAGCTCCGACGGAGAGGGCAAGGCCAAGGAGACTGTCACCGAGGATGAGAAGGACTTCTCCCTTCGCCCGGGCTTCCTGCCCGTCGAGCATGAGGATGGTTCCAACTCGGAGGTCGTGGTCGACAACCCTTACCCCGGTGTTTTCGTCTACCGCTTCGCTGAAGGTTTCAACTACCCCAACGCCTCGCGCTACCTCAACCACCTCACCACTGTCATCTTCAAGACCACGCGCCGAACCGATCCTTCTCTCCTCGGAAAGGTTGGCGACCGCCCGTGGAACGCTGCTGGCAAGAGGGGCCAGCTCGAAGACAACAGCCACCTTCCTACGCTTAAGGCTATCGTGCTTGACTTCTCTGCCGTGAACAACATCGACGCCACCTCCGTCCAGGCTCTCCTCGACACCCGCAGCCAGCTCGACCGCTACGCCGCACCCGACAAGGTCGATTGGCACTTTGCCAACATCACCTCCCGATGGACCAAGCGCGGTCTGGTCGCCGCCGGCTTCGGCATCCGCAACGGTCCCCCCGGCCGCACCATCTTCAGTATCGCCGAGCTTGGCGGAGCTGACAGCGCCGCCGCCGCAGCCGAGGCTGAGCGACGCAGGGCCGCCGAGCAGCTAAAGGAGAAGCACGCCGACGACATCGAGAGCATTGGCGCCGGGTCCAGACGGTCGAGCAACAAGCAGGTGGCGCTCCAGGGACTCAACCGTCCCCTGTTCCACTTTGACCTTCACGAGGCTGTTGAGGCGGCTATTGCGAACGCGCAGCTGAAGACTCCTTGATTTGTGGCGAATGTGATTAAGAGTTAACTGGTGATAATTATATATACCCTGGTTTTGTTTTCCCCTTGGTTGGATGGTCTTAATGTCGGGTGATTTTGGTAGAGGGGGATGGGAACTATCATGAATCTATGTGTCATCTTTTCAAAACATCATGAGATGTGTGAGCTCCAGTGCAATTGCTTTGACGTTTTTAAAGAGGCCCTCGTTTTACATAACTAGGGCCGTGAGTCAATTAGATTATAATACCCACAGCTACTGAGCAACTCACCCAAATATTGGTTTACATCTCGCGTGAACATGTGACTGAACTGAAGAAGGGTAGGATGCTAGTCGTGGACAAGGGACATCCTTGGCAGATACTTTTAAGCCGGCGTTGGAATAACACCGACTGCGAAACTGTTTTGATAGATAATATTGAATCATGATAAACCACTGAGCAGTAATCAGGAAATATCGTCTGCTTATCATGTAGGTAAACATAATGGGAAGCATTATTACTATATGACTGACTGCCACAATCAGGTAACCTTGCCGTCCCGATAGCCAGATGCCGACGCGACGATGGCCAATAGTAGTGCAGGGCGATGTCGCTTGGATACCCAATTGGGGAATCTGCTCATCTCTTGGCAGCGAAATGAGTGACGGATGTCGGTGGTTGCCGGGAGGCTTGCTCGGTCATCTGAGATTCGAGCAGAATTTTGCTTTCTTGTATCTTCCTATATTATACCCAAATTCAGTTACATACCTTGGCAATACTATGTTTGCGAACCACTATGATATGGAGGCAAGGGAGACACAACAGACCTGAGGTCCAAAGCAAAACAAATCAAGATGCCCTTTTTTCGTCAGAAATGGCCTGTTGTATCGGAGAGAGTACGACGGACAAGTTAAATTGTGCGTTCCATACGCTTGCGTCGAAATCATACTGAAGATGGCACACGACAATGGCTTCCACGCGGGGCAAGACAAGGTCCTCCAAGCATTGAAAAGATACAGCTTTCATTGAATGATGAAGAGGATGCGCAATTACATCAGATACTGCCCCAAGTGCAAGTCGTATCAGACAAACCGCGCCAAGCAACCTGGAAGGTCGAAAAATGGAAGCCATGATCCGAAAATCGAGCAGGGACGTGATGATCTCATGGCTAACCATCGGGGTGATAATTGTGGCAAAGATATTCAGACTAATGCCCGACGGGAAAAGAGGTCAACTAACCCGTGAATACATCTTTCGTAGCTCCCAGGTCGCCGTGCTTCGCATGAAAAAAAGCACGTTCGTTGAATGGCATTTTAACAATAAGGGTTTCGATGGTTTCCCGGATCTGTTCCTTGTCGCTCTCATGGTTGATGAGCTGGGCTTTCATCACTCCTGAGTGCAGTTGTTTCTTCACAATCTCGTCAAACGGTCACTAGAGAGGCGGTCTTGACAAAATCCGACTTCCTTCCTAAAATCGGAGACCCTAGCCATACCGACCAGCTCAGGCTGAAGACAGAGATTAACCTGACGGAAGAACATATATTATGCGTCTTGCCACGGGAAATCAAGGAGAAATTGCTAGCTAACATGGTCCACGTACATGGGAGCAACCAACATACGCCAGCTCATGGAGAAGACCACGCACACTGACTTGATTACTCTCATCCACCCGGACGAAAGGTACGCCACAGCTCCGCCGCACTGGAGTGTTAATCCAATGCACGACCTGGGCAACCACGCCCACGCACTGGGCGAATGGTCAAGGAAGACAATACTACTCATCCCCGGTTGTATGGACTACTCAGCCGGGGACTGGGCAACAGTGGTGCTGAGAGCACTGTTATTGTGCGATTGGGGCATCCCAACGATCATAATCAGCGATCGAGACCGAAAGTTCATGTCAAAATTTTGGTCGCATTTGTTTACTATCTTACACCAGCTTCCGGGAGAGGCCGCGGGCCTGGGGACGTGGTACTCGCCTGGTCATCATTGATACCTTGAAGCGCTTACCCAACACAGGTATCAAAGCCACCCTAGACCTGGCCTTCCTCTTCCTACTCCATGCCCTCCAGGAAAATTGTTCCCCAAAGTTTATATTGATATTATGTTTATTACTCGGTTGATTGTTTTAATACTTTGTTGAAGTTCATCGCTGGAGGTTCTAGGTGTGCCAGTCGCTTGCCCCCTAGGTAGAAGACGAGAGGACCAAAAGCCCAAGATAACGAAGATATAACAACAAGATATGATTGAATATTTTTGCAATCTCATTTTATAATGATTTCAAACCATTCCTCTGGCTTAGAACCAGCTCCAACCCCAGAGCTACTGTTCACTCCGATGGTGACAAGCTCCTGTGATGGGTCAATAAGATAGTTTTTGATGTGACCGAAAGACTTGGAGATGGAAATGTGCTCTCCGCCGCGCTGGTTGAAAGGGAGGTTGGGGCCGATGAAGTAAGTTGGTCAGGAGTTTAGTCTGGGCTTATTCATGGAGGAGGATCCTGACGAGAGAGCAGGAGGACTCCTCGGTCTTTCCGCAGGCTCTTGAGATAATCATTCTCGAAAGAAAAGGCAACGTATAATCCCGTGGTCTCGACCAAGAATGATAATTTGGTCCTGTGGGTCGAGATAATGCGAGCTCCTTAATACTATCTAATCCTAGTGAGCTCTTCTCGGAGAATAAATGTTTGATAAATCTAAGGTTCAAGAGAGCTCGAGATGAGAAAAGACAAGTGCAAGGGAAATATACCATCCGATAGTCAGCTAATCTAAAGTGTCCCAGATAGCGCCAACTAGCAACAGGACCAGCACATTTATCCACCTTACTTAATGCGTAAACATAGGAGACCCTGGATTAGGACAAACTACGTGGGAGGTCCAGAATTAGAATGTACGTAGTCTTATGTTACATCTTTTGTTATGAGATCTGGGGTTCGCGGCCCCTTTCTGTAGACACTACGGACTATTGGCTAGTACTAGCTGGGCGCGATCATCCTTATTTGAGGGGAACTGCTGAGGAGGAAGGTCGAGGCGATATTGACGCTAAGCACATTTATCCAGGCGTGCGAAAGCGGTAGACCTCTCGGCCGTGAAGTCGGAAATTTGTGGCTGGCAGCATGTGTGCCATTCTTCAGAGGCGTCACAGCTTTTCCTCGTGGTCAAATCACGCCACATTTTGAAGATAAATGTACTTTGCTTCTTCTTTGTATGATCTGCGACACGTGGGATGGCGTCTAAGGCGCATGCTGAATGTAATAGGCGGTTGCATGATGTCAGTCGCGTGCTTCTCGTGACACACATTTTCTCTAGCGGAAGCTTCCTTATTCCCCATCCATTCAGGGACCAAGAAGGCCCCCCTTTTCCCCCTCACCCGCAAACGACCTTGTCGTTTTAGGATGCCTCGAGTCAGCCCAGCATGAGACATGCTAATATCTAATTGGCTTTCCAACGCTCAATAGTCTGGGGGGCGATAAAGCTCCCCCTCCCCCAGATTCTCTACGGGGGTCGAGATGGTCATTGCCAAGCCAGAACCCCAATCAAAGAAGCAGAATCTTGGAATCGGTTGATCCATTTACCCGCAAGATGCAAGTTGGGAAAGGTTCATAATACCAGGGCGATCCTCCCCCTCTCGGAACGCACGGCTACTCATCCCATCTTCCTGAACATTTCATGCCGTACCACTAGAGATCATTATGCGTGTATTGTTTTATTGACCTTTGATGTTTCACCTCTTATCTATCTAATCCAACGCCTCTAATGAATCCACCGCCCACGCAGATCTCTCACTATGACAGGGCTCCAGGCCAACGTATTCGCTGGCATTGGTGTCTGCTGGGGACTAGCCACCCTCGCTCTGATCGGCCGTGTCGTCGCTCGCCGTATGACCAAGGTGCGGTGGTGGTATGAAGACTACTACTGTCTATCCGCCTTCGTAAGTTTACATCATTTGATTGAATGAGTCTTGACTGCTGACATCGACTGCTAGAGCTTCGCGAGTGCCTATAACGCACTCTGTCTCTACTGTAATCATTTATCACGCCGTGTCTCTCTTCTTGATCCTGAGCTAACTAAATGATATGATAGGGTGTACGACTTGGTACCTCGGTCAAATCATCCCCGACTCGATTGATGAAACAAAACACGAGGATATCCTCTTCCACTCTAGGAAGATGGCCTTCTTCTGCTCCCTGACATACGCCTACTCGATCGGGTCTTCGAAGCTGGCCATCCTCTCGCTGTACTGGCGACTCTTCAAATTCTCCTCAATTCGAATACCGATCATCACACTGTACACAATAGTCGCCGTCTGGCTCGTTGTACGAACCTTCTTGATCTTCCTCCGCTGCTCCCCGGTAGCGGCATATTGGGACGACTCCATCCCTGGCGGCCACTGCAACATCAAAGACTCGGCCTTCTTCTTCGGAACCATGCTTCCTCATTTTCTCCTCGACGTCATCATCCTCGCCTTGCCGGTGGTGGAAGTGTCTAGGCTTAGGTTGCGCATAGGGCAGAAGATTGCCATTATCGCTCTATTTCTAGTCGGCGTTGTGTAAGTGCTTGGTTTTATTCTGCTGGCAAAGAAATCGAACACTAACTTGCGAGGGACAGTGTGTGCGTCGCATCTGTCAATGGTTTGATCCTGTCCATCAGCGCGGACCCATCTACCACTCAGATGCCATACGACTATGCGATTACCTATACATGGGGTGGCGTGGAGGTCAATATTGCCGTCGTCTCTTGTATGTTCAACCACGGTGAAGAGTCTTCAATGGTACCTTTCGCTGACATCAAGTACTCTAGCATGTTTCCCCCTCCTCCGACCGATTTTCCGCTTCATGTTCGGTTCCCGTGCACTCAACTCCTACGACTACAACGCCTACACTGCGAACGGGGCGAGCAATGCCAACCAGACTTTTCCACGGACGAACGGCATCGAGCTGAGCGCCATGACTAAGAAGCGCAAGAAGGGCGTCGACCTGGGGAGCTCGCAAGTGGGACTCACAGACGAAGAGAAAGGCATCCTAGGGGATCCGACGAGTCTGAAGTCTCCTGACCGTGTGCACACGACTATCACGAGGCCGGACCCTGATAATGAGTGGTTTGGTGCGAATGAAGAGAATGGAATCCGAGTGCGTAAGGATGTGATGATTGAGGTGCATGAGGTCAAAAGTGCGAGGTCTTATAGTAGTGGTCATACATCGCAGGCGTAAAGTTAAAAGCAACCGCCTGCAGCACTGATAATGATTATATTGATGATAGAAAATAAAGACATAACTATTTAATTGGAACTATCCTAACCATTAAATAAAATGAAATGAGAAAGAAGAGGTAGGGATCCTAACAAGACAGGCATACCACTCAACATGGGGAAGACTCGACTATATAGTACCATAAAAAGAAGATGAGTAAATAAAAGTCAACAAACTCAAGGTTTATGCTATGATTTAGCTAGTAAAGTGGATGTGAAGGCTCATCCTTATGTGTCCATGTAGTTGAGTAAGGCATTGAAGTCATCCTCACTAGCATCTTCTTTTGTCAAGTTACCGCTGAGGCGAAATCGGGCCTCTTCAGCCTCGCTTGCATATTTGGAAGCCCCTTCGATCTCTCCATGCGCTCGTAGAATGGACGCCATCCGCCAAGCGGAGCGGGCCTTCCCACACTCCAAGAAGGCTTCCGCGAGACCGAGTTCGTCGTACATCTCATAACTCTGGAGAAGGACGGCACTGGAGCCTCTTATTAATCCTTTTGGTACTGTTCTGGATTGGGAATACGAATGGGACTGTGCTTACAGAGCCGAATCTTGGTCGCCCGTGAGGTGAACAAATCGCCCACTCGGTAGCAAGAGGCTGCCGTCTGGATGTGACTACCGAGTACCTGCTGGCGAATATTAAGCGCAATTGTGTGTAGCCTCAATGCGTCTGTTAGGTCACACTGGGCCATTCTAATATTTCCAGAGACGTAATAGTCGCTGCCATCGAATCAGTATAGCAAGAACGCGTCTTAGAGAGGGTTTAATCACCACTCAAACATACTAAGCAGAGCCTTGGGAGAACATAGGAAGGTTATCCTCTTTTGAAAGGTCCATAGAGATATTTAGGTGCGACCACGCTTCATCAAACTGACCAAGGCCAAGGTAAGCCATAGCCAGCTGGTCGAAGATGGGGTTCTTGATCCGGACAGGATGATCCGCCATGACTGTGAATGCACGGTCGCGGAATGGCATTAATCTTTGTATAATCTCGGTGTACTTCCGTTTCATTGAGAAGGACGAGCGTCTGGTTTCCTCGTACTGCACACGTGTTGACATTATATTCACCCAACAGCCTCGTACGGATGTCGAGAGACTTCTCGAACCAGCCCCATGCGGCCTTATCATCTTTGTACTGCAGCGCAATGACACCGTACGTATTGTAAAGGTATGAAACCCCTACCTGTCCGTCATCTGTCTTCAGATCGCAGAAGGGCTCTGCCGCTTGGGCTAGCGTCAGTGCCGTGGTCATGGCACCAGTCTCAACCAAGTACCTGCCGATGGACATTGGTCAGCATATCCGCTCCATTTTCAAGTCACAGGGAGAAATAAAGGACAATGTCGTTAGCTGAGGTGGGCAAAAAAGTAAATTTACCATGAACAATTGAAGAAGACATCGAACAAGTCTGCAGGACAAGTTGAATGGAGCGCCCATCTCTCTTACAACGCCGCTAACCGTATAACATGCGGTGCGTATGTCGAGCATATGCTCCAGTGGTGGAATAAAGTATCAGATGTTGCCTGTGACTGAGGGTGGCCTTGCCGTATCAAGTGTAATGCGGCATCGTATATAGTTGACAGTCGATCAAGACTGATAAAATGCTGGGCTGCTTCTTGCACAAGCCGATGCACAACAATTAATTTTTGGGCGGCATGATGGTCAACCAAGCCATAGCGCCTTAGTTTCGCAAGGCCCGGATAATACCTATATGAATGGAGGGGCAGTTAGTTTGCAACTAATTCACATAATGGAGATGAAGTCTCTATGATGATATGTTACAAAGGACTCACTCTGCTGGGATATGAAAGGGGGAGAAGAGGTCGGGAACCGCTGAAAGACAACTGGTAAGTGTTTGGTGACACTATCCTGTATGCCATCGGGATCTAGCGTTGAGAAGAGTGCCAAGAGATTCAATGCCGGTTCATCAAGCTTTGAGAGCGAAACCTCCAGGGCCGAGGCAAGACTTGAGGGATATGTTAGACGAGCAAAGGAGGACGTTTCGTAGGACCGGATCTTACCGTGTTGCTCGGTGTCCTCAATCATTACAAGCAAGTCTCTTATTGAGCAGCCGGTCTCTCTCATGAAGCCTGCCATTTGCCTTATACCGAGCGGCAGACCGCCGAGCTGCGTGACAAGAACTTTTGCTGCACTCAATGTCTCTTCAGAAGCATGAACGGAAGGAAGCCGATTGAGCAAAAATGACTGTGCATCATCAATACCGAAGGGCTCAACTTTCAGTCCTTCGCCTGCCATACCAAATTGAGACTCGGGATCTCGGCTTGTGACCAAGATGGAGCCGTTCCCGGAGGACGGCATGTAGTCTGCTAGTTTGGACGGATCTCTCCACGTTGTCAAAAACTAGGAGCCATCTTTCGGCTTTAACACAGAAAGGTCGTCAGTATTTTGAATAGGAGTGCAGAGGAGAGAGAAGATGAGAAGCATACATGTTGCACTCAGCCAGCGCTTGACAGTCTCCCTATCTTCCTGCGCGCTGGCGTTTTCTTGGTGCAAGCTGAGGCCCGCGGCAGCATCCACATATCCACGCGCAAGCTTGGTCACCTCGTCTGACCATAGCCATATGATGATTTGGTATCGTGGTTTCTCTCTGCGTGAAAAATCCAAGGCAATGGACGTCTTTCCCACACCTGGAAGGCCGTGCAAAGCAAATATCTTCGGTGCACCTATATCACTTGGTGTTGATAGTGCCTGAGCACAGCGATTGAGTTCTGTGACCCGGCCAAAGAAAGGTAAATGCTCACTGAGGGGTAACTGAAAGTAGGGAAGGCTGACAGAAGGCACTGGCCGCTTGTAATTCAGGAGTTTCTTAATCTCCTCATGACGTGACTTATCCATGTTCATCTTTGCGGCATGAGCTTCCACATCGATGACTTGACCTTGTCGTCTAATCTTCTGCATAGACGATTGCATCATGGCCTCTTGGTTCGTCCAGAGAGACGATAACACGTTTTCTGGTTGCCGTCAGCCACGCTAAGTTCCCTTTCTTGTGCAGGTCTGAGGTGTTTGGAAGGAGGGTTAGGTGGATTGGAACGGTAGACTGGGCAGGCACTAACTGATCGGATGTCGACGGAACAGTTTAATCGAGTGAATAAAGAAGTCGAAAATGAGTTCGTATATATTAACCAGAGCATCGTTTAGACGTGGGGCAGAGGTAAAAAAAAGACTGGTACTCCTCAAACCTCGAAAGAGCCTTGGATATTTCGGAGAAACCCGCTGTAATCTTTTCTATGGCTATAGAAGAGCGGAGCAAGAGCTACAACAGCGCGTAAGTGTTAGGCAGCGAGGACAAGCGCCACTGCACACCATTGTCCATCCCATTTGCCAAAGCACACGTTAAACGTACATCGAGCACCAACTTGATTCCTCCCCACATGAGAGCGGCTACATCCAGGTTAGGTGGGACGGCTGTGTCGTTGATACCGCCGAATGACCTGATACTCGCTAAAGCAGGTGTCAGGTTCTTTAGGATCTTTGCGGTCTTCTTGTCTTTATAGGCCTGCTCCATTCCGCCCATGGCGGTCATCAAGTGTTGATAAGATGGGGTCGTTAGTATGACAGCAGCATCCTCTTGACTCAGTCGCGCTTTACAACGCTCACATGCCTCCTGCCACTTGCTTGCCGTGCTTGAGGCCGGAAGTGGGTTTTGGGCACTCGAGACATTTGGCCGGCCTGCGGTGCTCATCTTTGTTGTAGCACTAGCTTCGGTGGTACGATACCAGAGGTTTCTCTAGTACATCGCTATACAGAGCTGTCGTGAGTAAATGGTACGAAGGCCGAAGTCGATTGGATGATGTGTCGCAGCGGAACATACGTGAGACCTTGTGAAAGTAAAACTGCACCGTATGTAGAGGGGCTAACCTATATATCTGCCACGATAATGACTGATCAGGTAAAGGGTGCGCAACCTTGGAGCTAGGCAACAGTGTTGCACACGGGATAATGTGCTTTTCTTTACCGAAATTTGGTCACTTAACGGGATAAGCAGCCAATCAACACTCTGCCGAGCTGCATGCCGTTTTTAGAATGGATATAGGTGAATAAGAAAACCCGAATACGAAAGACTCGAGCCGCAGAGATGTGTGGCAGTTAAGAAAGGCTGTCCGCCCCTTTGGTTGTGACGAGTTGGCTCTTCTTCCTTATCAGATATTCTACTTGATTTCCATCTCCCACACTCTACGCGGTATCTCAAATATCATCCCCATTTCATTCTCACAGATATCAACTCAACGCCAGAAGAGCTCGATACAATATGACACCACTTCGCCAGCCCTGGAAAGAGTACCTGGCTCAGAAGGAGATCATGGAGCAGGGCCAGCAAGAAATTTTCGTCATCCAGAAGAAGCATGAACCTGAGAATGGTGACACTCAACTCTGCCCCGGCGGTGAAGAGTGTGGCACAGGGCCCCATCCTCTTGGTAGTACAGTCTCTTGCGCCTTTCGCTCTCACATGGCATGTGAAGTGGTTATGCAAGGTAGCACTGGCACTTCAGGCTAGTATTTTGCCAGACTAACGAGGTAAGGCAGGGGTGATTATGCGAGAGTCTGGAGTTGACTAACGATGCTACAAGATGCATTCCCCTACCTAAAGGGAGGACAGCATTTTCTGAATATCATTTCCAACGCTATTCTTATAAGTCGGGATGTAGGAGGCTGCCGTGTTGGACCGGAGTTCACCCAAGCCTCCTTAGTTAAAAGTTCAGTTTTACTGATAGTAGAATAGCGAGTTAGTAATGAGAATATTCTAACAAGACTTTTTTCCAGTTGTGCTCTCTTGCCTACCAAGTTGCAGATGCAAATCAATTTTTTCTTAAGTTGATTGTTGATCATTGTCATTGTGCCCTATAGAGAACGCGTCTATCCCGGACCCCTTGCCACACGACTCATCTGCAGGAACATACAACATTTTCAAGCGCATCAAATGTGAGACTAAACTGACCAGATTGCCAACGTCGTCAGGGGGATCCGTTCATCCCGGGCTGGGGGAAGGAAATTAGCCGATTACCATTAGCCTGATCTCACAGCTCTTTCTAGCTTGCTTGCTGCCTCCAACATCAATCGCTGTATGGGCAACGGCTAATCCGTACATCATCAGTAAATGGGATTGGATTTTGTTTGCGGAGGGGGACCTAAATGGATTGACTTACTATGGGCAGCACCAGGCTTCGTATCCAGGATCTTTATCATCCAACCTTCGTTGTACCTTTGGTCTAGAATGGAATACCACAGGTGTTCAGGACTGTAGTGTACAGCAAAGCTTTCCCCAATGTAGTTTCGGGTGATGACGTCCGCCGCTCGAAGGTCTTTCTCCAAGTCGACGGAGCGGAAGTCGCAGAGGGCAAGAGGCCACTCTTTGACGGCATCCACAAGTATCCGCCAGATGCTAAGTCCCAGTCAGCATATGCCCTGCACTTCGTAGAGGGGAGGTCATGTTGCCAGCCTGACTTGATGATACGCAGACGTTCCTTAAGCAGATCTGGAGAAAATTTCGGCCAAGCCTTCTCAAATCGTGCCAGTCCAGCAGCCTGCGTGGCATCTACGAAGCCTAGTTAATATCAAATCCTCTCCCCACTTGTTTGTCCCATTATGCACTCACCAACATGTACTTGGTTGATGGGTGGATCGTAGTGAAGCGCACCCCTAGTAAAAGGCCTTCCAAACCCTGGATGACGATAGCGAAGCTCCATAGACGGGTTAGCGACCGGTAGATGGAGGTAGTGGCCATGGACCGTCGACAAACCTGATGCTCGAAGACACGAGCCTCTTTAGCACCCAACCTCCGAATGACTATATCCTCAATAAACGGGTAGTAGACTTTCTTGAGCCACTCGGTGTCCTCAAAATTGCTCGATGGATAGTGGTCTCCCACATCAATCAGTTCGAAGCCAGTCTTGTCCAGATCAAACTCGGGTGCGTGCTTCCTTCCATCCCTTATGACGATATTGTCAAAGGCATCGGAGACAATGTTGGTCTGCTCGGCTCCCGTCACATTAGTTAGGTCGATCAGGCAGGAAAATGGCTTTTCGCGCTCATATTTAGGATCGCGTCGCAAATATTTCAACGAAGCAAAGAAAGAGCCTGCAGCTTGGTCTTCAGGGGCCACCGCAGCCATTGAGACAAGAGCGCACACCCAATAGTGGTATGTCTGTAGGCTTCTGTCGTTGTTGATGCTCTGATCTTCTGAGCTGAGGAGAAGTGGTTCGGCCCCAGGAGGCCACCCCCCTTATGACAAGAGGCTAACCAGCTTACACTGCAAAGCCTGAAATTGCACAAGTTCTAGGAGCCAATGAAGGGTGAACACATAGCGCTATACACATGTTTGTCACACAGATATCGCATTGGCTGATGGTGTGTCATGGTGTGTTATCCTGTGTTATCGCGTGCGGGGCAAATGTTGTCAGAAGATGGAGAAATTCCGGCTAGTCAATTAGGAAGCGTGGGTCAGAAACCCAGTATATACCCCTATCTCTATAGACCCTAGTAAAACCTAGGAAAGTAACTTCCTACTATTTATATATCTCAGAGGCCTAGGCTATCTAAGAATACAGATATTAACTATCTATAATATATTTAATATAACTAATTATCTAATAAAGATTAAGAGTCTTAATATAATCTAATTATTAAGAATATATTTAAAGAATCTTATTTTTAATATATCTATAAAAGTAATTAATAATAAGATTTAATATAAAAAACTAGAGAACTAATTAAAGTAGAAATTAGTTTTTAAATATATTATAAAGTCTTTTTATATTTAGTAATTTATTAATCTAAATAAAATAAATAAATTTCCTATAAGAGCTTCTAGAAAAATAGAGTTTTTAAACTTCTATAGAGTAATTATACTTAATAATATTAGTTAATACTAGATTAGGTTATAAATAGTAGATTATAAGAAGCTTAAGCTTATAGTAGATAAATAGTATCTAACTAAGAAGGCTAAGATCTTTATAGAACTATATCTAGATAATTATATTCTACTAGAGTAAATATAGAAAGCTAAGAGTATCTTCTAGAGGGATTACTCTAAGATTCTAAGAAATTAGTAAATAATTACTATTTATATAAATAAGATAATCTTAAAGGAAATCTAAACTATATATATAAATAATTATCTATTAATTAGAAACTAATATAAAAATCTAGCTAACTATAGTAACTATATAATTAAGAATAATAAAGAAGATTAATAAGATAACTATTAGGCTATTATAGTCCTTCTATAAAACTATCTAAAGAATCTCTTTATCTAGATTACTAAATAGTAATATATAGTTACCTAGGTATAGATAGTAGATATAGTTAAAGTAATAAATCTAAAAGTATAACTTATAGATCTAATTAAAGTTCTAAAACTAGTAACTAAAGTACTAACTAGATATTTATAGCTTAAACTAAGAGAGAAAGTAAAAGTAAAAATACTTACTTTCTATAAAATTAGTAATATAATCCTTAGCTAGTATAAATTTTAAAATAAAAGAGTAAAGCCTAAGAAACTATTAGTATAAGATATCTTCTATATTAATTATATAAATAATAATAACTCTATAAGTAAAGTAGAGGATATATTTCTAGCCCTAGAAGTTAAATAGTAAAATTATAACTCTTAAGTATAGAGAGACTATAGAGATTAAGAAGGCTATAGAGTAAACTATTAAGCTTAAGATAGTAATAGAAATAGATTAGGATTATAAGTAGGAAAATAATAATCTTATAAAAATAATAATAAAGATAAGAAAGATTATAATTACTATTAGCTATAGTTAGAGAAGAAGAAAGAAAGAGAAGAAAAGTTAAACTCTTTAAAGATCTACTTTTTCTATAGCTAATTCTATTAAACCTTCTATTATTATCTTTTCCCTAATAAAACCTCTAAGAACTAGAAAATAAATATAAATCTCTTAAAGAATATTACTACTCTAATTAAGAAATCCTAAGAGTATAAAGTAGAGTATAAGAAGTTAAAAAAGAAGTTCTAACTTAGCTAATAGTAAGCTAAGAGAATAATAAGTTTAGCTTTTCTTATAATCTACTTCTAAATAGAAAGAGATCTAAAAAATATAAAATTAGCTAAGTTAAAATACCCTTTTATTAATATAGTTCTTCTTAACTTAGGAACTACTCTTTATATCTTTAACTATCTCTACTACTTTATTAACTTCTATATAGTAGATCCAGATAACTTTATCTAGACTAAGAACTTAAAGATTCTAATTTAAAGCTATAGTAAGATTAATATCTAAGTTATAAATAGGTATTATAAGATACTACTATATCTTAATAATATAATCTATTATAAATACTTTACTATTAATATTATTTTCTTATACTAGCTAAATAAAATAGATCTATTCTAAAAGAATAAACCTAGTATTAATAAATTATAAGATATATCTAGTAAAATAATTATAGTTATTAGATCCTTATATAACTAGTTTATTCTTAAAGGTATTCCTATAGATATATTTTATACTGCTTTCTTTAGCTATATTTATAACTTTAATTTATAGATTAAGAGGTTATTATAGAAAAAAAAGATAGAACTTTAGTACCTATAGCTAGACTATTTAGATCTAGAAATAATATTATATATAACTAACTACTCTTATAGTATCTAATATAAAAAGGATATTATAACTATTAATTATAAAGACTATAGTATAGCTAAAATAAAGAAGTAAATTTAAAAAGAAAAGTAAAAGCCTCTACTAGCTCTAGAGATAGGCTTTAGTATAGATCTCTTTATATATCCCTTAGATAGATATAAAGGAGCTATATAAGTACTTCTAGTTACTAATCTATATATAGGCTTTATCTATAACTATTACTTAAAAATATATATCTCCCCTGAGCTATTTAATTATATTAGGAACCTCTTTACCTATTTAAAGAATTAATATAGCTTCTAACTATAATATATAAGACTAGATAATAAAGCTAAGAAGATAGTTTTAATTAAGTAATAGTTTAAAGGTATAGGAATCTGAATAGAGCTTATAGTATTATATACTTCTATATAGAATAGTCCTACTAAGTACTCTAGGGGGGTAATTTATAAAAAAAGCCTATATAATATATACTACTATAAATCTATCTAAGTATTTATAACTAGAAATTATATAAATAACTATATATCTATATAATTATATACTAAAGTAGATATATAACTAGTAAACTCCTTATAAGCAGCTATATCTTTATATTATAATATAATAGGATATAATTATTATAGACTAAAAGTTATAATAGGAATATCTTTAAGCTTATAGCTATAAGATATATACCCTTACTATAGCTATAAAAGTTAGATTTAAAAAAAAGTATAAGCTAAACCTAAGAGTCTAAATAGAATATCTTATTAGATATAACTTAATAAATATCTTTAGAGTTTAGAACCCTTTAAAAAATACTATATATAATATATATAATATTATCTTTAATAAGAAATTATTCTTTATAGATAATATTAATAACTTAAAGAATAATCTTACTAAGATAATCTTAATAAACTTTAAAGAGACTCTATAAAGTATAGTAGTCTTTAAGTAAAAATAACTAATTTAAATATTAATTCTTAATATAGCTCTAACTACTCTTATACTTAATAATAAAAATAGTATAGGGAAGACTAATAGTAGTACTATAGGTATAAATAATATATTTTTATCTAAGGTAGTAGAGAATTTAGTATTATAATATCCAGAAGAACTAATTACTATAGACCTAGTAGAAAGTAGAACTAATTACCTAAAGCTAATCTAACTTATACCTTATCTGATATTATAGTTATTATCTTCTCCCCTAGTAGCTATATTATTTATAGAGAGCTAAATTAATATTACTAAAAAGAAGATTCTAGAATTTCCTAATCTATTTAATATAATCTTCTCTATATTATAAAGTAATAAAATAAGGGAGTATATATATTATATATAGATAGCTATCTTTCTAATAGTAAAATAAATAAGTCTAAAGAAACTATTAGATAGTATAATTATTAGCAGAGGAAAATAAGTAGCTAGTAGAGTATATCTAGATAATATAATTACCCTAGTAAATCTCTTTTTTATAATAAATAATAAATCTAAATTTATATCTAATATAATCTATATAGTAGATATACTAGCTATATCTAAGAACTATAAAGCTATACTTAAGTATCTATTAAAGAAAATCTTTATAGAAACTAAATAGAACTATCTAGCTAGCTATATAAAGATATAGTTATAGTAAGAAGTTAGTATAAAAGAAATATAATATAAATAGCTATTTAGAAGTATATAGGTATATATATATAAGCTAGATCTAAAAGATTATATCCAGAAGTATAAGATATACTTTATAATCTAAGGAAACTAATAGTTAAGATATAATCTTAAGGATATCTATATTAAAATATTTATAGTTTAATCCTTCTAAGCTCTTATAATAATTACTATTTACTTTAATCTTAGTCTCTATTAATATAATATAGTAAATATCTTTATAAATATAGTACTAAAGGAATTAGTTTATATATAGCTATCTAAGAGCTATAGTAAAACTAGAATAATCCTAAGAGTAGATAAAGCTCTTTATAGACTATAATAGTTACTATTATATTAGCTTAAGGAACTTACTAGTATACTCTAAGAACTTAGATTTAAATAGATTAAGTTAAAACCTTATTATTATATATATAATAGTATTATCCTTTTCTTTTATATTAATAATATAGTTATTACTACCCCTAAGAGCTAAACTACTAAAGTTAAAGAGATTATCTAAGAGGTTTAATAATAATACTAATTAATAGGAGGTAGTAAGTTATAATAGTTCCTAGGAATTAAGATTATCTATAACTATAAGAAAGGCTATATTTAGCTCTTATAAGTATTATATATAGAGAAAGTAGCTAATATATACCTAATACTAGAAAGGCTTATATAACTATAAGAGAAGAGTAGCTTTAAAATACTTATAGTAATCCCTAAGCTTATATCTAATAAGGATTATATAGATCTATATTTTACTTATTAATATTAATAAATTACTAGCTTACTAATCTATATTATAGTTATAATAAGACTAGATATTATCTTTATAGTCTTATACCTTATAAGATTTAAT